TAATTATTAATAGTCATGACTTTAATGTTGTGGCTGGTAAGAGGGGAGCTCATTTTAATGACTTTACACTGTATGTAAATTAATTTGCAGCTGTGGTTAGTACCTTCATTTCCTTTGTGCATTGCATTTTGAGACAGTAGCAAACATCAACAGCGCACTAAAAACAAACATTTCTCAGTGTGCACTCTGATCATTCTAAGTACCCCTAATCTCTGTAGTACAGAACTGGGACACAGCTTTATTAATTCAATTCTGTGTGTTTAACTGTTTATATTTTACTGTGTATTCCTTCTGTATGTTTCACCTGCTTCTGTTTGAATGTAGATACCAGCTGACTCTGATAATATTTCTGTATTGTTATATTTAGTTTCAGTATTGAATTTACAGTAGACGTCCCTTTCCAACAGCTGCCATTTACTTACAGAGGAATTCCACTAATCTTTACAGATGATTTTAAGTATTGGGTTTTAACAAAGAAATAAGTTTGATGCATTCATGGGGCTCAAAAAATGTGTTTAAAACTATACAGAACAACTGTCTGTTGTCAGGGGTCGGTTGCACAAAACACCTTAAGTTAAGTTTTTCCTTAAAATCCATGTCAGGGCTTTCTTAAAATAAAATCAGTAGCACAAAACACATCTTTTCCTTCAGGTTTCCTTAAACTGTTCACTTAAGTATGTACGGTTTTCTTCTTATCTTGGTCTTATACTTAAGGAATCCCTTAAAGTTAGTGAAACCATTGCACAAAAGACTGTAGGTGTCACAAGTTTAAGCACAAGCAAACAAATGGTTGTCATGGAAACTGTAGTATTTTTTTCCAATGCAGCAAATGCCTTAACATTTTTAGTTAACTAAGGAAACCTTCTAAGGGAATCTGTGCAATACCCTTAAGTAAGTTCCTCAGTTTAGGAAAAATTAAGTCTTAAGTGTCACACTTGAGGAGAAAGGTGTTTTGTGCAACTGGCCCCAGAGACCTCTGCCAAACTCCATTCAGAAAAGTTACAGTTTAAGAGTTGCTTGCTTGTCGATTAGAAAACAGAACTGATGGAATTAATGTTTTTAAAAATCTTTTTGGCTCTGTTGTTTTTTCGGCACCCTTTTGATTTGTTAATTGCGATTCAATGTTAATCAAATCTTTGATGAGAAATGAAATCTGCAGCCTTTGACCAAGCATGCACTGTCCTATAGTTATCAGCAAAGCTCACAGAGTGGCTTCCCCAGTGGCTCATATTCTCACTCAGTCCTGTATTTGCTATTTGAGGATGTCTGCTCTCTCAGATAGCAGCAACGGACATCTTAAATGGCCTTATGCAAACTCATCTAACTTCACAGACTACAAAGAGGGATTTATTCTGTTGGTAAATAACATGTAAAAAGGTGAAATCCAGGAGAACCACAGCACAGGATGTGAGGCAGCTGTTGTCTTCACATACAGACACTTTTACACTGTAAATTATTTGTAAAGCATCAAGTGTTTACAATGGGGTCATTACACGGAGTGTTAACTTGGATGTACTTTAGAGCACTTTTTGTAAAAATGAGTAAAATAACTATAGCGGCACAATAAATGGAGAATGAACATGTGTACTGTTTTACTACATACAAATTTGACTGACTTGTACTTGCACTTGATTTTTTTCTTCCCGTGCTACTTTATATTTGTACTCCATTACATTTGTCTTACGCACAAAGAGCTTATAAAAGTTGATGTCTTATTTTAAATAAAACTCCCCAGTAGAGCTGTGAGACGATCAAACTTGACTATCAAAAGCAGGGGTGTCAAACATACGGCCCAGGGGCCAGAACTGGCCCGCCAAAGGGTCCAGTCTGGCCCACTGGATGACTTTGTGTTCCTCATAGTGATGTACTGGTGAAGGCTGAGAGGTGTCAGGCTTAAACAGTGAGGAGGTACTTCCTGTAAAATGCAGCCTCAGAAGCTTTTCACCAGAACACAGCTCTCTGAAACAACACTAAATACTTCCTGTGGTCAGATTTAATCATACTGAACATTGTGGAAAATATCATCAACCAGCAGCTTCAGTGCAAAAGAGTCTGTGTCAGACTATCAGACGCAAGTGAATTACATTTAAAGTCAATGTGATTGATTTCGTGTCATATGCTTATTCACAAGAGTTGAAAAATCTGAACTTCACTGACCTATTTGTGCTGCGATAACCAATCAGCAATGAGATCCTCCAGGGACATATGACATCGAGGATGTACCGGCAGAAGTTCAGTCATCGATTCAGCACTTTCACACACAAATGATGCGAGTTATTCGCACATATAAAGTGAGTCAGCACAAAATATTCTAGCGCATCATGTTGGCAAAGGGAAACCTTTGAGGGGGATGTTACATAAAGGTCATTATGTAATGGTTTTACTGGTCCGGCCCACTTGAGATCAGCGTGTGCTGATCTAAAATGAGTCTGACACCCCTGATCTACAGGATGTAAAAGTCATCTTACTATATAATGACTCCATGTGGGTGTGTGTGTGTGTCTGTTCCACGTTTTTCTCCTCACTGACTTGGTCAATCCATGTGAAATTTGGCACAGTGGTAGAGGGTCATGGGAGGATGTGAATGAAGCAATATTACATCAGTTGGCCAAAGGGGGGCGCTATAGCAACCGACTGAAATGTCAAACTTTGAATGGGCATATCTCATGCCCCGTATGTCGTAGAGACATGAAACTTTGCACAGAGATGCCTCTCCTCATGAGGAACACATTTGCCTCAGAACCCATAACTTCTGCTTATATAGATTTTCCACCATTATGAATTTTTTGAAAAACACTTCAAATGGATCTCTTCCCAGGAAGTTTGAGCGATCTGCATGAAACTGGGTGAACATAATCTAGGGACCAATATCTAAAGTTCCCTCTTGGCAAAAGTTGGAAAACTTACTAAAACTGAGCTTCTATAAGGCAATGAATATTGCGGAGGGCGTGGCTCATCACATAAAGGTGTATAACATCTCAAGGGTTTCACCTGTCACCACGCAACTTTGTAGGCATATGACCACACATAATCTGAGGGGACCCCTCCATTATTGACCCCATCAAACAAAATGGGGGCGCTAGAGAGCTAATTTCTTATCTAGGCCTAACCGCCATATCGATTTTTACTAAACTTGGTAGATATGTAGAACAGGACGCCTCAAGGTGACTGGAGAATTTTGTTTTTTTTTTATTTAAGATATTTTTTGGGGCATTTTTGCCTTTAATCGATTGGACAGCTTAAGTGTGAAGGGGGAGAGAGAGAGGGGGAATGACATGCAGCAAAGGGCCACAGGCTGGAGTTGAACCCGGGCCGCTGCGGCAACAGCCCTGTACATGGAGCGTCCGCTCTATCTACTAAGCCACCGACGCCCCAGTGACTGGAGAAATTTAACTCTAAAATATGCTGATGGAGGCTCAGGTGAAGTTTTAGAGTCCTCATATCACTTGCGGAGATCCAAGGGGAGAGGAGGTAGCGACACAACTCCACCTAATGGAGGCTGACGGCGCCCCAGATTCAAACGTCCAAAAACCCATAATTGAAACCACAAAATATCTCCACGCAACTGCACACAAGTGAGCTCACTGTACAGAGAGGCAGTTAGAGCTACAGGCTACAATGAGGCTAAAAACAGAGTTCAAATGACGTTTTTCCAAACAACTTTTTATGTCGGGGCTTCAGGACACTTGGATCATTACGGACGAGCAGTACGAGATATTTTGTTTGAATCTCAGGCACCATAAGCCTCCATTAGGTAGAGTTGTGCTGCTACCCCCTCTCTCCTTGGATCTCCGCAAGTGTTGTGAGGAGTCTAAAACTTCACCTGAGCCTCCATCGGCATATGGGTGAGTAGATAATGGCTGAATTTTCATATTTGGGTCCACTATCCCTTTTACTTATTACACCTACCCTTTTAACGTTCATTGTTTTTGCCAACTCATACACACAAATTTTACAGAGCAAAAAGAAACTGACTGAAGCTAAGTATATTTACAGTATAAAGGCCTATTGTCTGACCAAATATCCCAAACACACATTTCATGTACACTCTGGTGTTCATACTTCAGTTTTATATTTGTTAATCATCTTATGTTTTAATATTTTTTTAATCTATGATGTGTATCACACACTTTCATTTCTGTTTCTAACCCATTCTGTAAATTTACGTACTGAATCTTTGTTTCACATTTGTTCTGGAATTTACATTTGATGTCACATATTTGTGAGTTCCAAAACGATTTCCCTCTTGGTGATATTTTCTTTTCTTTTTTTTTTCTTTAGAAGAGAAACATTGTCTTATATGTTAATTAGTACATTCTGAATATATAATATATATCCCATTTATGAGTAACACAGGTTCTATTGTAAGTGTATCTATATGGTTCTTTATTAAGTGGCATAAACCTGTGGGCATGGCCTCAACCACGGATCTAAATTATCTCTAAGTCACAGAAGAAACTTTCACAGCTTAATAAATGTCCTGTACTATCAAATACATGAGTTACAAGTTTGTATGTAGTATTTTTTTAATTTAAATTTAACAAAACAATAACATATTACGCAATACATCAGAGCTGTTTCACACGTACAAAAAACAAAAAGTCAAAGAATAAATAAATTTACAAAATACATTTCCAAGATCTCAGATAAACCTTTAGATTAAATAAAAATTAAATAATAAATATCAAAATAAGTAAATAATAATAACGCATCACTAATTCAATATCGTTATGTCAACACATAAATGTATTTAACAATCTCTATAATCATTCATTTCATTAAATGTCAGGGAGTTCATAGTTATCTAAAAATTGTGTATTCTTTCTATTCTTAACCAGTGCTAGGGATTTATGAAGTGAATTAAATTCAACCAAAAAATGAGGAAAGGTTGGTTTAGAGGCTGAAAATGTTTGCTTATGAATACAAAACTTCCCCAATAAAATTAAAAATGAGTTTGTATGTAGTGCCGATCTATATAAGCAGGATCTACTACGTCACGATGACGTACAAGTCCAAACAGGAAGTTTAAACAGCACGCTTCATTCTTAGCCCACATGATCACACGTTACAGCTGCTGTCGTCAGTGTTACACATCGTAAATGCCGGTGAGTTTATTTAATGTAAAATATAACAGTATACAGAGAACCATTTGTATTAACACAAGCGCAGAAACCACATTAAAGCCTATTTTATGTGACGTTGTGTTGAAACCGTGTGCTAATGCAGCAGCTAGAATGTTAGCACTAGCATAGCTCTCATGGATGCGTTCCACCAGACTCCATTCAGGAAAGTCTCAGTTTAAAGGTTACTCGTTTTCCGGTTAGTTCACAGACCTGATAGAGATAAGGTTATATCTTTTTACAAATCATTATCACTCTGTTGTTATTTTGGCATACTTTTGATTCAGCAATTGCAATTGAATTAAAATAAACTCTTCATTGATTTGGCTCTTCCCGCTGGAGAAAGCCAGATTTCGACTATTGCGAAAATTAGGCCCATCTTGACCCGAAAAGATGCAGAAAAATTGGTCTACGCTTTTGTTACCTTTCGGCTGGATGACTGTAACGTTAACTCCCTATTATCAGGTAGCTCTAATAAGTCTTTAAAAACTCTCCAGCTAATTCTCTGCACTGGCTCCCTGTAAAATTCAAAGTTTAAAATCCTACTGTTAACTTATAAAGCTCTAAATGGTCAGGCTCCGTCATATCTTAGAGAGCTCATAGTGCCATATTATCCCACCAGAACACTGCGCTCTGAGAACGCAGGGTTACTCGTGGTGCCTAAAGTCTCCAAAAGTAGATCAGGAGCCAGAGCCTTCAGCTATCAGGCTCCTCTCCTGTGGAATCATCTTCCTGTTACGGTCCGGGAGGCAGACACCGTCTCCACATTTAAGACTAGACTTAAGACTTTCCTCTTTGATAAAGCTTATAGTTAGGGCTGGCTCAGGCTTGCCTTGTACCAGCCCCTAGTTAGGCTGACTTAGGCCTAGTATGTTGATCTGTTCCATACAACATCTATTGCACGTCTGTCCGTCCTGGAAGAGGGATCCCTCCTCAGTTGCTCTTCCTGAGGTTTCTCTACCATTTTTTTCCCCATTAAAGGTTTTTTTTGGGGAGTTTTTCCTTATCCGCTGTGAGGGTCCAAAGGACAGAGGGATGTCGTATGCTGTAAAGCCCTGTGAGGCAAATTGTGATTTCCCATATTGGGCTTTATAAATAAAATTGAAAATCGAATTGAATTAATTTGCCGACCTGTAGGAGTAGCTAGCACCTATTAAAAGTTAATATTATGTAATATACGTGTGGCATTGTGTGCTAATTGTTTGCCGAATTAAAGATTAAATGACACATATCTAGGTTTTACCGTTAGAGTCTCCCGTTGTCGTGTGTTTTATGTGCAGTTTGCCTCGAACTGAAACCGCATTAAATCAACTGGTTTCTAACTTGAGTTATAAACAAGGCTTATCGCGGCTAAATGAACCAAAGCAGTTGATAATTTGTAACTCAGTGATCACAGATAGAAGTGTCTGAGTGACTGTTGTCTCCTCTGTGTTGTTTGCAAGACGACTGAGCTGCCATGATGGCAGGAGGCCGGCTGAGCTTCAGTAAAATCACCGCCCTGGCTCCGATGGTCCGGGTGGGGACTCTGCCCATGAGGCTGCTGGCTCTGGACTACGGAGCTGATGTGGTTTACTGCGAGGTGAGGATGGAGGCTTTGGCAGGGAAATAAATCAGTATATGTTTATATGGGTGTTAATGTTTTGGTAACTCTGTTCTGTCTGTTTCAGGAGTTGATCGACATCAAAATGGCCCAGTGTCAGAGGGTGGTGAACGGTGAGAGTCTCCTTTATACCACAGTCTGATACCTGATCATCCACACTGACTGACACAAGACAGCTTTAGAAAAGTATTAGCATCAAGACATATTTAAAGTACCAAAAGTAAACGCAAGAAGCAAATCAGTCCATCACATGGCAGCAACTCAATGTATTCAGGCATGTAGACATGGTCAAGACAACTTGCTGAAGTTCAAATGGAGCATCAGAATGGGAAAGACAGGTGATTTTGTTGTTGGTGCCAGACGTGCAACACATCTCTAAGGTTTACAGAGGATGGTCCCAAAAACAGCCAAAATGCCTTGTTGATGCCAGAGGTCAGAGGAGAATGGCCAGACTGGTTCAAGATGATTGAGAGGCAACAGGAAGTCAAATAAGCACTGGTTCCAACCAAGGTCTGCAGAAGACCATCTCTGAAGCAACAACACCTTGTCCAACCTTGAAGCAGATGGGCTACAGCAGCAGAAGACCACACCAGGTGCCACTCCTGTCAGTTAACAACAGGAAACTGAGGCTACAATTCACACAGGCTCACCAAAACTGGACAATAGAAGATTGGAAAAACGTTGCCTGGTCTGATGAGTCTGGATGTCTGCTGCCACATTCAGATGGTAGGGTCAGAATTTGGTGTAAACAACATGAAAGCATGAATCCATTGTGCCTTGTATCAACGGTTCAGGCTGCTGCTGGTGGTGTAATGGTGTGGGGGAGATTTTCTTAGTACCAACTGAGCATGGTTTAAACACCACAGCCTACCTGAGTATTGTTGCTGACCGTGTCCATCCCTTTATGACCACAGTGTACCCATCTTCTGATGGCTACTTCCAGCAGGATAACGCACCATGTCACAAAGCTCACATCATCTCAAACATGACAATGAGTTCACTGTACTCCAATGGCCTCCACAGTCACCAGACCTCAGTCCAATAGAGCACCTTTGAGATGTGGTGGAACGGGAGATTCTCATCGTGGATGTGCAGCCGACAAATCTGCAGCAACTGTGTGATGTCATCATGTCAATATGAACCAAAATCTCTGAGGAATGTTTCCAGCACCTTGTTGAATCTATGACACCAAGAATTAAAAAAGGGTCCAACCCGGTACTGGAAAGGTGTACCTAATAAAGTGGCCAATGGGTGTATATCAATATACAAACATACACAAGACAAATTAACATTAAAATAAACAAATTAAATTCATGTAAAAAATGCAGAGACAAATAAAAAAGTTTCTTCTGCAGCTAGTAATCAGCAATGTCCAACTTCATCCCACCACATAGTCGACATAAAGCGAAGCAGCAGAGGACCAAAGCAATCATCTCCAAATTCAACTGTATTTTAACCCCCCTTGCTTTTTCTTTTTTTTTGCATTTTATAGTAGCATTATTGGAGGTAACCTGAGAACAACCACTGTTTCACTGTAACTGTTGTGCATGTGACAAACACTCGAAACATATCTTTTTGTGTTCTTCAGAGGTGCTGGAGACGGTGGATTTTGTCGCCCCAGATGATCGAGTGATGTTCAGGACCTGTGAGAGGGAGAAGGACAGAGTTGTCTTCCAGATGGTGAGACAGAAAGCAGAAATATTAACTGTCAGTTTGCAGCAGATTCACAGTCAGAGTTTTTTGTCTTCTTCTTTTGTCTTCTTCTTTTGTTTGTAGGGGACTGCTGACCCGGACAGAGCGCTGACAGTGGCCCGGCTCGTGTGAGTCCACAGCTCCTTCTCTGAACCTCAAACTGTTTTAATTCACAAGTTAAAGCTTCAAACACAACTTCAACATAGTGGCAGCTGTTGCTCCATCTCAGTTTAAAACATGCACAGAACAAAATGTGGAGTAATTTGCAATCAGGGAAATTCCCTGGAGGGTGATCCACACATTCATTTATTTGTGGCAGCTTCCATTAATAAAACATCTGCCGCCATGTTTTTATTTTCCCTTGTGGGAGCTGGACCGTTTCAGTAGGAGCGCTGCTGTAATAAATATACCATTTGGTTACCTATTGCTCCCCATCCTCTAAGCTCAGAGCGTACACTGGGCACAGATGGAGCAGCTGAATATCAGTTTGCAGCCTTCTCCCTCCTTTTTTGTCTACAAATACATCAAATTGTTGGGAGTCTGTGTCCCACCTCCATGCTACACGCTACATGCTACATGCTAATATGTCTAATATATTGTATGCTCTTTATCGTGAACTGTTTTTGCAGTTGGTATTCAAGAAATCGGTGCACTTAAGTGTTGTGTACAAAATAAAGTAGCTACAGCTGAATTCAACTTAAAGGTCCAGTGTGTAAGATTTAGGGGGCTTTAGTGGCACCTAGTGGTGAGGATCCCAGATTGCAACCAGCTGAAACTTCTCCTGCTTAGAATGGCTTCAGTGTTCATTGTTCAGGAGGTTTTTACTGGAAGCCAAATTATCCACTGGAGTCTCTTCCTCACCAGAACAAACAGACCAGGCGATTTAGGTCCCGTTTATATGATAACGATTTCAACTGAAAACGGTAAACTTTAGTTGCGTTTTGGCCGATCGTTAACACGACAGCGGCGTTTTGGGTGCCTGAAAATGCAACGTTTTGAAAACGGGTTCCAGAGTGCAATTTTTTGGAAACGGCACCATCTCTGTTGTCATGTAAACTTGCAATATGCAGTTCCTCTGAAAACGGAGACTTTTCGCACATGCGCATTACGGTTCCAGTTACTAGGCATGTGCGAGAAAGTCAACCATCACAACAACAATGGTGGACGCCCGAGCTCTGCTTGTGCTGCTCACCCTATTGAATTTATCAACGCTTCCCCATCATAGTGTAGATTTAATGTAGCAACTCCACCTTGTCGTCCATCCAGACAAACGTTCATGCGGTTGCCATTTTGTTTGTTTATACATCGGCACTCTGTAGAAAGAAGGGTAAGCGTCACACCGTCAATTACCGGTCTGGCATGTATACTACAGCATTTTTGGTCATTTTTGCGGATCCGTGTGCACATCGATTGTTATCAAAACGTTGTCGTCTAAACGCGAAACTTTTTTGAAAGTGAAAATGAGAAACGATTCTGTTTTCAGTGGATTGTTTTCGTGTAAACATGGCCTTAATCCAGTAAAAACACTGAATAAAGTAGTTTCACATTACGATATGAATATGAATATGTACTCACTTAGAAAAAAAAACACTAGAGTCTAGAGTCAAATACAGTAAAACCCCAGAGATACAAATTTTAAAAGAGGAGAAATATGACAAAAATGCACTCTTTAAAATACACTGAATAATCTGAAGTAGTGGATTTTGTTGACCCTGGCCTGTTTTGTCCTGCAGGGAGAAGGATGTGGCCGCTATCGATGTGAATATGGGCTGTCCAAAAGAATACTCCACTAAGGTGAGTGGCCTCTCAGTAACCAACCTTTGACCTCTGACCTCTTGCTGACCTCTGACCTCTTGCTGACCTCTGACCTCTTGCAGGGCGGGATGGGAGCTGCTCTTCTGTCAGATCCCGACAAGATTGAGGCGGTGAGTTCTTCAGCTGGACAACATGTCCCTGACAAACTGTATGTCTCTTAGCTTTAACGTCATTCAGCTGAGTGGACGGATGAACCTGCTCTGACACTGTCTGAGGGAGTGTAAATAAAACAATATACAAACAGTAAAGATCCCCAATATGTGCAAAAAACAGCTGTACACAGTGCCAGAAATGTAAACAGATTTTTAATTATCTGAAGAAAACTTTAAAGGGATAGTGCACCCAAAAATGAAAATTCAGCCATTATCTACTCACCCTCATGCCGAGGGAGGCTCAGGTGAAGTTTTAGAGTCCTCACATCACTTGCTGAGATCCAAGGTGAGAGGGGGTAGCATCACAACTCCACCTAATGTAGGCTGATGGCGCCCCTGTTTCAAACGTTCAATAACACATAATTGAAACCACAAAATATCTCCATACTGCTCGTCCGTAGTGATCCAAGTGTCCTGAAGCCCCGACATAAAAAGTTGTTTGGAAAAACGTCATTTGAACTCTGTTTTTAGCCTCATTGTAGCCTGTAGCTCTGACTGCCTCTCTGTGCACCGCGCTCATGTGTGCGCACTTGCGCGCAAGACCAGCGAAAGCCAGTGAACACACATGAACGCGGTGCCCATGTCTCACAGTCTCACGCAAGTGCGCACACGCGAACGCGGTCCACAGAGAGGCAGTTAGAGCTACAGACTACAATGAGGCTTGTTGTTTTTCCAAACAACTTTTTATGTCGGGGCTTCAGGACACTTGGATCACTACGGACGAGCAGTATGGAGACAATTTGTGGATTCAATTATGTGTTTTTGGATGTTTGAATCTGGGGAGCCATCAGCCTCCATTAGGTGGAGTTGTGTTGCTACGCCCTCTCCCCTTGGATCTCCGCAAGGGATGTGAGGACTCTAAAACTTCACCTGAGCCTCCATCGGCATATGGGTGAGTAGATAATGGCTGAATATTCATTTTTGGGTGCACTATCCCTTTAATTATCTTTTGTCTGTAGATCCTCAAGAAGCTCGTCACAGGAGTTTCCATACCGGTCACGTGTAAAATCCGAATCCTTCCATCGGTAAGATGTGAAAATTTTATTATTATCAATTTATGATTATTTTCTGTTTCTGTTTTTTTCCCTTTGGTTTCCTAAATCAGATACTTTGAATATTTCTGTTCTGTTATATTGATGCTTTTCTTCTTTTCTTCAATTATATTTCTGTTAACAGAGATAAAAACAGTTTAATTCAGATAGCACACGTATTATTAATGTTTCAAACAAAGCAGAATGAAACAATTCACATTTCTGTTTAAGCCCCATCTACACATATACAAATGTTTTTGTAAACGAATATTTTCCCATAACTGTTGGTTATGTTTCTTGTTTTTTTACTATAACCTATCAGCTGTTTAAATTGTGGAAGTCTTGAAGTGCCCCCTGTAACATGTTTTGTGTAATTCACTGGTTCCAGTTGGAGGAGACGGTCAGTCTGGTCGAGAGGATCGAGAAGACGGGCGTCGCTGCTATTGCTGTTCACGGCAGGTAAACTGGTTGGAGATGATGTGATAACCACATTTGATGTATTTTAAATATTAGCTTCATATCGTTATGTGACATTTGGAATGAATGTACATACGTAGTTTTATGTATTTTTGTAACTGATGTGGCTCTTCATGCTCTCATGTTGTTCTTGTTCCTAGTTGGCCTGAGTGTTGCCTGCTTCTTTAATGTCGTACGATGTGTTCACTTGCAACACGTCCGTGTTTCTCTGCTGTTGTCCAGGTTCAAGGAGGAGCGTCCCCGTCACCCCATCCACTGTGATTACATTCAGGCTGTTGCTCAGGCTGTTTCCATCCCTGTTATTGCCAAGTAAGCCTCAACACATACTCATCCTTTTGTTGTAAGAGATAAAAACTGGTTCCAGTTTATTAAAAAATGCAAAAACCTCAACATGCAGAGACTTGAAAATAGTTTGGGACAGATAATCCAACACAGTAAAGAATTTATCATGTATTGTTTGTCTTGTCTTCATCTGGTTTTATTCCTGCAGGGACTGTTGTGAAGAGCCAACTAGATGACTATGACATGTCTATCAGGCCTGGGGGAGAGATCCCTCCTGTGTTGTTGTGGATGTTTTTTCCCCCCATTTTGCCATTAATGTTTTTTTTTCTTTAATGCAAACTGAAAAATCAAAGAGTAGTGTTTGTTTTGCGCAGGTTGCAAAGTCTTCTGAGGCATATTAGTGATTTTGGGGATGAAAACTGGAATCTGTAAAGTAAATAAAGCTGTCAGACAAATGTAGTGCAGTAAAAAGTACAACATTTACCTCTGAGATGGAGTGGAGTGAAAAGTACCTTGACTTTATACTTAAGTACAGTATTTGGGGAAATGCACTTAGTTACATTCCACAACTGTTTTATGATTTCAGGTCTCAGCAGCTTTGTTTCCTTGACACACTGAAATACAGATAGAAAATCTTGTTTGTTATTAAGTCATTAAATCCGTCATGTGTCCCGTCTGTCCTGCAGCGGAGGTTCTCTGGATCTGGTGAAGACTCACTCTGACATCGAGGAGTTCAGGAAGGCGACGGGCGCCTCGTCGGTCATGTTGGCTCGTGCCGCCATGTGGAACGCTTCAGTGTTCAGGAGTAAGGGACTACTTCCTGTGGAGACGGTCATGGAGGAGTACCTCAAATATGTGAGTTTCTGTATTGACAGAGATATTTTAGGATATACTCAGATATATTCCTCTGTGTCGACGACATCCATGGCCAGAGGCATTATTTTTTTCAGTTGTCGATCTGTCCATTTGTCCCATTCTTGTGAACACGATATCTCAAGAATGCTTTGAGGGAATTTTTCCAAATTTGGCACAAACGTCCACTTGGACTCAGTAGCCCCTTTTACACTGCCAGATTTTCGGTGAATGTTGGGCCGTTTTGCTGGCAAGCTGTGAGCGTTTAGACACACAGAGCCGGATTGGCGAGTTGATCCGACGTGCCCAATTTTCCGCCTCGTAGGGTACACATATTGGCGGAACCTTTTTGGTTTAAAAAGAACGAGGCACTCTTCGCCACGGGAGGGGCTGTTGATGACTTGTGGGAGGAGCTGTTGATGACGCCACACGTGTGAGCCACTGGCAGTGGACTAACAGGAAACAGCTGATAGCAGGAATGAGCAGCTAGTACTAGTAGCAAGAGGGAAACACAAACCTGACAGATGAGCAACTGGGGAGACAAGGAATTGCGCGCCCTCCTTGTCCTCGCAGTGAAGAACGGGCCGACTTACGAGAGAATCGCTGAAGGACTGACCAGCCACGGCTTCCCTCCCACGTCACTGTTTACGTCACACGCTGAGCTACACGTTTTGTTACTTGCTCACGCCCCCCATTGTCCCGAAAAAGGTGCATTCAGTATAACAAAAGTAGGCAGGCGGCATTTTGCTGCACTCCCCGATTTTGTTTTTATACTGCCAATGCTGAAAAAAGACTGATTGGGCTTTCCTGCTAATTTGCACAATTCCTATTTAAAAAGGGCTAGTGATGAACTGATTAGAATTTGGTGGTTGAAAGTCAAAGGTCAAGGTCACTGTGACCTCACAAAACATATTTTTTGCCAATAACATGAAATAGAACAGAGAACATAATAGAACACCTATGGTTGGTAAGATGGCGGCGCACATAGATGCAGTGGTTCAATGCTTTCCCTTTTAGGAGCCTCACATGGCTGTTTATGTGCTTAACATGTTACTCGTTCCGACGACATGCTGCTGGGCAAACAACTTCTACAACCAACATGATCTAGTAAAGACAGGATTACAGAGCGAGCAGTGTGTTACAGCTGCGTTCTTCCACTCTCACAAGATACTGACAGACATAGCCAGGACCCGAGGCTCAGGAATTCTTACACTAATTATGAATTTCACACAAATGTCTGATAGGATAAAATGATGAATTGATGAAATTCTGTATCCAAAGGTCAACTTCAGTGTGACATCATAACGTTTTCTAGCCATTATTCAAAGTTTTATCTCAGGAAGAGAAAAGGGGGGAGACATTTGGTCAGATACTGAACTGGTGACACTAATCTTGGGTGTCCACCTTCAAACATGCTGATTGTATAGATCCTCTGTGCTGCTGGGGGAAGATGAGCGTGAAGCATCAATGATTTCACAGACATGGATGTAAACTGTAACGGTATCTCGACTGATCCGTGGAGGCGTATAACCACGAGGCAGTAATTCCAGTTTGTTGCTGTGCAGATATTTTAGCTGAAGTACCAGGACAATAACAGTTGAAAATATTTCTGTAGTTATTTTTTGGTTGGAAGTTCCCATTTGAAACCTCTGACTTCCCTTCTACATTGTCCACTTCTCTGAAAAACCAGTGGAGAAACTGGGACACAGACCAACTATACATACTTGTTACTGGTTGTCTTGTGTTTCACAGGCGATCCGGTACGACAATCATGTCTTCAACACAAAGTACTGTCTGTGCCAGATGCTGAGAGATAAGGTGGAGTCTCCTCAGGGGAAGCAGTTGCATGCGTCTCAGACCAACGCAGAAATCAGGTACAGGACTTTTTCCTCTTTAATTTTAAACTCCTGCCTGTTATAAACCAGAGGTGACATGGCTGCCTGCTGGTGTCTGATGTCAGGTATCACTGATGTAACGTGACGTGGTGTTGTGTTGCAGCGAGGTGTACGGGCTGCAGGAGTTTTACCAGCAGACTGAGGAGCAGCTGCAGGCCAGGAGGGATGCCCCGCAGAGCAGCAGCCAGCCGGACCGACTTGTGATGGACGGAGACGTCGCCACCATGGCCGTCAAGTTTGAGCGGTCAGTTATTGTAGTCAACACGCTCCTTTAAAATAAAAGTAATTTAAAAAATAGGCCTCCGTTGAACATCTTGATATATGTAAGGTCTATGAAACTAAATGTATAAAACTAAAAGTGCTCTATGATAAAACTACACAAAACACAAGGAGAGTGAAATAATCAAAACTTCTAAAAATGTCACCAAAGTAAGAGATAAAATAAGGAAGACCAAAACTAAAATCAAGATAATTAATCAAAAATAAAAAAGATAGTAATAAAATGTACAGCTCAGATGAACTCAGGATATGTTTCCAACAGAAGGATGTTTTTAGGAGAGACTTAACCAAAGTCAGCGACTCAGAGAGACTTATATCCTCGGGCACCCCCCGGTGGCAAAAGCTCTGTCCCCTTTAGTCTTCAGTCTGGACTCTGAGACAAGCAGAAGACCTCTGCCCGAGGATGTCATGCCAGGCAGAGGTTCATAAGGGACTAACAGGTCTGAAATGTAATCTGGAGTCATGAAGAGCCTTTAAAATAATCAGTAAGATTTTAAAATCAATTCCAAAACAAACAGGGAGCCAATGTTAAGAGGCTAAAACTGGTGTGGTTTGATTGTGACAGGAATAAAGACTTGCTATAATCAGGAATCAACATTTTCTGTATCTGTAAAAGTTAAAACATATCTTATTTTAGTTTGTTTCTGAGGTGATAAAAACATGATTGAACAAGCTCAGTGTTCAAAACATAATTACTATGGAACATGATTTCTTGCATCAGCCTTTATGTGCTGCGACCAGTAGATGGCAGTATTTGTTTGGTGATATGCTGTGTGACCCAGTTACAAGGATTTCTGTTTTATTATAACTGAGCTGAAGAAAATTTAACATCATTTTTACATCACATAGACAGTCCTGTAGAGAACACAGCATGCTGAGTTCAGCTGTGGAGACTGTCTCATGTATGAATTCTGCTAATTAAACATATTTGTCATTCTCCTTTACACATCCAGCTCACGTAATATCAAGTCTTTCTTTGTTATATAGGCAACAGTAACAGTGGAGCAGTCATTCTCAGGCTCCTTGGAATAAAATATAATGCTGTGATAGTGTGATAAAATGCACATTTACATTTAGTATGTATATATCATGCTATTTTCACATTCATCTGAAAGTACAACTGAAGCTAGCAGGACTTCACAATATGTGATGAACATGTCACCCAGTGAATATTTGTGAAGGGTATTTTTCATTTTCTGATCTTTGTATGTGTGCTTTCAGGAGAGAGTATCCTCCTCAGATCACTCCCAAGATGTTCCTGCTGGAGTGGAGCCGCAAGGAGAAGCTGGAGCAGCCGCAGTATGAGACGGTGAGAAACTCAGAGTCATGAAAATCTGCTCTGAAACTGACACCGGTGTTTTACTAGAGCTGATACTGGGCTCTGCAGTCTGATAGAAGTTACTTTGGTTTGTAGATCTGATTGATTACTGCTCTGGTTGTCTGAAGCAAGAATTTAAAGGTGTACTCTGCAGGATTGTCAGACACTGTTTGTAAATGTGTTGCCAGCAAAAGTGAAAGTAAAAGCCAGCCCCAGGTTCACTCTTGTTTTGCATTCCACCTCGCTATATTTGCATTTTATCAGTACTGTGTCTCTTGGATGCCTGCCGGTTACGGCCTGGCACCAGATCACTACCTTAATATAAAGCTCGACCTCACCTGAGCACTGTGGGGGTACACGCCCATAAACGTCCCAAACGCAGAAAATAAGAAGAAACTAATAAAATCCAGGCAGAGGGCGGAGTCTCTGCAGATAAATACACCTCCACACACTGAGAGTGATTGTGAGGGATTACTGCTGTTTGAGTTATAACATTGTTTGTCAGGAAAATCTTGCATATTATATGGCGTTGTTGTGTTGCTCCAGTGTGTGATTTTAGACAGTATGCTGACATCACGGAACCAACAGAGGCATGACGGACGTGATATTTAAAGGGATAGTGCGCCCAAAAATGAAAATTCAGCCATTATCTACTCACCCATATGCTGATGGAGGCTCTGGTGAAGTTTTAGAGTCCTCTCAACACTTGCGGAGATCCGAGGGGGGAGTGGGTAGCAACACAACTCCACCTAATGGAGGCTGAAGGCGCCCCAGATTAAAACATCCAAAAACACATAATTGAAACCACAAAATATCTCCATACTGCTCGTCCGTAGTGATCCAAGTGTCCTGAAGCTCCGACATAAAAAATTGTTTGGAAAAACGTCATTTGAACTCTGTTTTTAGCCTCATTGTAGCCTGTTGCTCTGACTGCCTCTCTGTGCACTGTGCTCACGTCTGGTGAAGTTTTAGACTCTAAAACTTCACCAGAGCCTCCCTCGGCATGAGGGTGAGTAGATAATGGCTGAATTTTCATTTTTGGGTGCACTATCCCTTTAACACAACAGCATCAGCCTCTAGTGTGACATATACCATACATGTTGGCAGCGCTTTATAAACAACAACAATGGCATAACAATGATTTATGGTCCCTGTTATATGGCGGCTGGTCTTGTCCTCTGCGTGGAGAGTAAGGAGCTCCGTGAGTTAGCTGCTAACTGCTTCTTGCTGCTTTTTAAATCTCCTGGTGCTGGGTCGCACACATAACACATCGTCAAAATGTCACACCCATCCCATCCATGGTCCCTTCCTGCTGACTGTCCCTTTTAGACAGACATTGATTTGGTGCTGTTACTACCTCCGCTACCAGCTTAAAGGCAATACAGTGCTGCCCCCCCCCAATTCCACGATTGTACCTTTTATACAGAACATTGAGGCGGAATAACGGCCCAAAATTCCTGCCTTGAACAGGCAGTGTAAAAGGTGCTAAAGTCTGCCACGATATGATTTTGATCAGTAAATCAGTAAATCAGTAAATATCAGTAAATAATTGTCTTTTTCTCAGCTGCTTGACATTGTCTGCCTGGCGCTAAGCCGCTAGCATTGTTTGAATGTTTAGGAAATAGGTGTGCTTGGACAGGAATGATGACACAAATGTGCCGGGGGAATTTCAAAATAAGGGCGTATCTTAAAGATGACTATGAATTGTTTTTTTTTTTTTTTTTTTTCACTTTGTGTAGGTAATATTAAATTGTTAAATCGCAGTGTCGATTCAGATCGATCGTTCGTTACTCCCCTGGTACTATGAAACATGTTTGATATTTATGATTAATAATCAGAGAGACTCCGATCAAGTTGGTAACATTAGGATTATGTCTGTAAACTCACATGACAGGATCATTTGGACATGTTTTCTGTTCAGACCAGCCTCCAATTAAAAACAGGTTTGTCTGGAGAAGCGAGTCAGACCCAAAATCTGATCGATCCTCCAGTGTGGGGCCAGCGTTAGAGAACAACCTGGGTCTGTTTCAGTAAAGACAAAGACTTTACCTGATGGCATATTACAGTGGGACCACACGAGTTATATCTGGAAAGAAAAATGTCCCTTCAGGCTCTGCAGAGATCTGCAGTTTGACACACTGCCATCAGAGCTGTTGTGAACAGTGTGTGCTGTGTTTTCAGGTGCAGCGCTCTCGGGATCGAGCCTTTCAGTCGACTGTGACTGTAGCAGAGAAGAAATACAGATCTTCACTGTGGTCAGTACACAAACACACACACACACACATACACTCACAGAAACAACATGATATTACTGCAGAGTAACAGTGTTGTTAACCTGGGCTCAGAGGCCTCTCATGTTAAATTCTCTTGTCGTTTTCAGGGAGAAGTCGAAGAAATTTGCCGAACAAGCAGCCGCCATCGTCTGCCTGCGAGCTCTTGGAATACCAGAGGGTCGCATTAGTGAGGAAGACTCCGGCCTGGTCTGCAAGAGGAAGAGGGAGAGGAAGATGAATGGCACCACAGTGGAGGAAGGGAGCAAGAAGCGACATCTGGTGGATGGTATCCAACAGGAAACAGACAACTCAAAGACTGCTGCAGTGGCCAACGGTGACCATCACAAACCGGACACGCCTCCAGAACAACTGTAGAGTTCATGAACAGTTAAAAACAGGAGGACGAGAAGCTTCTGTGACCACTGACGGACGTTTGGGTGAACTGGAAAAAAAAATCAAGGGATTTTAAAAAGCAACTTTATTTGTTTATTTCTCTGCACCAAAAAGCTCCTCAGTTCATTTTTGACCTGCGTCGTCTTCGGTCCATACGTTTATGATAATCCTAAAAAATGAACTTTAGGTTTTTTTTGCTCTCAAACTCAAACAGCAGCTGCTGGACTGAATTTTCCATCCTTTAAGTGATCTTGTCCTCTGCCCACAGTGTAAGGAGCTCCTTGACATCATCGTTCTCTTAAATTGCGGACATATTCAGCCACTGTAATTCTTTGTCTGAGTTAGCTGCTAACTGCTACCACCTACTTTTAAGGGGCTGTACACATGCCACACATTTCCACCTGGAAAATGCGGAGTCAGGCACTGGGTGCTACTCTTGTGCCTACTCTTTCAGGGCTCAGAGGCAAGGTTTGTCTGACGTTGCTAAGCGACCATAACAAGCACCGTATCATAGGCTACTTACCTGAAATCCAGAGTGCTGAGCTGATCTTCTTCCAGGAGCTGTTTGTGTGTAGACAAATGTGAAGCTCTGGCAGCTTTGCACTAACATGATCAACTTCTCTGTATTTATCACGGACTGAAGAGAAAGATATCTGTCGGCTGTGATTGGTTGGTCCTCGTCACATGACATGCAGTGTGCACTGCTGCGTTCCAAAAGTTAAACTCTGTTTATCTCAGGGTGCACCACTGAAAAATAGCCACCATGGAACGTGTGTGCCACATGTCATGTGTCATGTGATGCTTAGCTCTAGTGTTTGAGCGCGCCTGCCGCACATCTACATTGAAAACAGTGAATTTGATGGCGCAAAAAACACGGCATGTATACGGCCCCTATTTCCCGCTCGTTGCACGTATAACATGTCAATAAAACATCACACCTGTGCCACCCATGATCCAGTCCTGCCGGCTGCCCCTTTTATACAGACATTGTTACGGGGCTGTTAATACATCAGCTGCTGGCTTACAGGCGAGACAACTCTGTCCCCCCATTCTGTGATCATACATTTTATACAGAATGGTGAGGCGGAATAATGGTGTTATGTTCCAGTTTGAACAGGCTGTGTGAAAGGGGCTCCTGTGACTCCTGTGACATGTTGACCAGTGTTACAAAGAATTTCTTCCTGCCTAAAACATAGGAACACGCCTGGTCTCAGAAAAATGTAATTATTATCACAATGTGTTTTCAGCGTGAATGTCTCAAAATAATGAGAAGCTTTTGAGACAGTTTCACATGAATGACTCGCAGGATCTAATATTTTTTCATCACATTGGCAGAAATGTTCAAACTGGGATCTGCCCAGTGCATATTACAGTCTTCCACTTGGTCTGATGGGAGAGACTCGGCATTTTAAGAATAAAAGCATTGTTGTTTTTTATCGCTGGTAACTGAGATGTGGATTTGCAGCCAGCAGGAGGCAGAGCTGAACCTTCACCCTTTCAGATATTTCAGAAATTAATTTTAGCCTTGGTGCCTTAAAAGAAGAACTTTTATTTTTAAATCCTGATTCTGGATGGACCTTAAACTCATCATGTGTTTCTTGATTTCATCCTTTAGTCTCTGCTGTACACGACTGATATCGTCTTAAGTTTAACTGGATTTGTCGTCAGTACGGTTCACTGAAGTAGAAAATATGGTGCCATAAATTTCAGTTTGTACCCACCTCTGGGTCTTATCTGTAAAAGCGTTCACTTGAAAAACCCTCCACCTCCTGCAGACACTGTTGGTTTCATGCTGTGTTATAATATCTGATAGTGTAGCTGCAGTCTGATGGAGTTAACGTCTTAACTCAGTATATTAAAACCACATGTAAGAGACAAACTGTTGCATTCAGGTGACGTGTTCCTTCATTCTGATGAACAAAACCAGCCTGAGCACAGCGATAAAATGATTACATGACAGGTATTTTAATAATAATTATTAATTAATATTAATTTTAATTTAATGCAGCCTTTGATCTGATGCAGTGGTGGAATATAATTAAGTACATTTTAAGTGCTGTACTTAAGTATACATTTGAGGTACTTGTACTTTATTTATTTTCTTTGCATGCCATATTATACTTGCCCACTAGAGGGAAATATTGTGCTTCATTACATTAATGTGACAGCTTTAATTTCTTTATAAATTATGATGTTACATACAAAACATCCAAAGAGTGTCTAAAATATTAATTAAAATACAAGTACAGCTGAAACAGTTAGTGCATTAATCAATTAGTTGACAGAAAAATGCTTTTCTTCTTCGTAGTAGTAGTAGTAGTAGTAGTAGTAGTAGTAGTAGTAGTAGTAGTAGTAGTAGTAGTAATCTAATAAAGTCATATACAATAGTGTCAGTCACAGTGGACATTTTATACTTTAAATACTTTAACTACATTTTATTAATTATAGTTACATACCTGTATGGAAGTAACATTTTAATGCAGTACTTTTATTTGTAACGGAGTATTTCTACAGTGTAGTATGAGTACTTTTACCCCAGTGAAGGATCCCAACCCTTCGTCCACCATCAGTCTTCCAATTAAAAAGTCTTCAAGTCCTGAACTGAACCTGAGAGACGGAGACACCCAGCTACTGACGTCATCACCGAGCTTGCTAATGGTGCTTTCAAGGACACTGGGAGATTTGATAATGGTTATGTATTTGAGCGCGCAGAAAACGACACAGGCTGTTAACGGGTATCAGATGCTTATATTCAATGTGTTTTTAAAGACCTTTTAAAAATGTTTCTTTTAACCAAATTGAAAGCAGATTTTTGAACAAATCTTGTTTTTTTTATTGAAGCATTGGAGGGAAGTATAGAGGTAAATAGACCAAGTGTATATATATGTGGTGCTGTGCAGAGGTATGTTTTATAATAATAATAATAAGAAGAAGAAGAATATGGCTATTTGAGTGGCGTAGGTTAATCTACATTTTGCCCACAGGAAAATGCAAATATACAGTACAAAGACGTATTCATTGGGAGGTTTAAAGAAATGCTGAACTACAATATTCCAGTCATTGGTAGCAGTGTTGTAATTCTGCCTGTGTGGACATTTGTCATTTGTCCATCACTTTACTCAAAACTAAAAGGGAAAAAAGTTAAATGCCTGAGGAAAGTAATGTCTTTGTCACTATTATAGACCAAAAAGGGGGAAAAGGCAGAAAGTTTGCAGAAATGTGGACTTTGATGCAGAAGAGCTGGCCTCATTATGACAAAGCTACATAAATGAAATTACATAAAATATTTGTGGCATTTCAGATGGCACAAATCTAAATTTGGGACTATTAAATGACTTTTAAGGCCTAATATTTATAAAATTGGATTGAAGACACCTGGTAACAAAGCTGTACTGCAATGCTGTGACACTGAAACACAACTCATCAAGAAAACAATAAATGAATAAGTACAAAAACAGAAATAAATCTACCAGTTTCACTACCCATATCATGAAAACGTGAATTATCAAGAATTTAAAAATAGGACATTTGGGAGAGGAATTGAGAAATTGAAAATATTCGAAGAAAGCTTGGTTATAACATATATTAGGAATTTAAGTTTGACACTTCAAGTTCTTTATTCTTATCATACGCACAAGAATAACAGAAACAGTTGATGGTGATGAAGATCTTAGGGACTGTTCTTTACTTATCAGAGGAGGAGGTGGCTGGGGTGTGACTTCTGACAACTTGCCATAAATCAATTATTACATTTTTAGAATGTATCCTTTGATATTTGAAAGTTAAAAGTTGAAGATGAAATTGTGGAGTTGAAACCACCCTCCCTGCGGATTTTCACTCTTGTCGTTCACGCTGGTTAGTTTGTGCAAACGGTTTATTTTTGGCCAAATATTAAATGTGACAAAGAATAAAGTGGTTTTGATAGAATATCACTATTTTAAGCTCTGACCTGGTATGTGTTTTTTGTCTGATGGATGCATTTGAAAATTAGAAAATCTAACAATAATTCGTGTTTTTACAGTTTTCTGATGATGATAAAATTGTAATTTTGGCAATTTTTAAAGTAAACATTGGTGGTAAAATACATAAAAATATAACCATTTGAATTAGTATGCCCCTCCCCTGTGCCAAAACAAATAATAAATAAATAACATATATATATATATATTTTTACCATACCTCCCTCTTTTTTGCACCACCCCCTTCCCCCCTAATAAGTAACGAACAGTCCCTTAAGTCTCCCTCCAACACTGCTCATTACACTTGTACAAGAATGTTAAGGTAAAGTGACAGTACATGCTCCGTGTCTGTTTTAAGGCCCAAATACACAAATTGCTGATTCATAATTCATAAACAATAGCAGTTTTTCTAAACTGTGTTCCTGGGTGGTTTCTACAGTTTCCAAACTCCGCTGTGAGTGTGTAGTTTACGGGGAGCCCATGAACGCAGCGCAGGGATCAACCTGCAGGAGAGTAAAACTCGCTGCAGCCGAACAGAAACACGAACACAACAAGTTTCCGCCATAATGGGACTTTCTGTCTTTACTACAGAGTGCAGAAGCGTTTTTACTGATCGTGTTGATGTCGGTTAACAACTTTTAGTCGACGTGTTTGTTGGCGCCGCAGTTTGAAACGGAGTTCTGCTTTTGGTCGGATGGAAGTGAGTGAGACAGGTCAGTTTTAAAAGACAGACAGGTCGGTTTAACGGCGGTTTAAGAGGACATTCAGCGTGTCTCCGGTTCAATGTCCACGGTAAACTGCGCCGAGGAGCTGGACTTCAGACTGATCTTTGAGGAGGACGGCAGACAAACGGCAGGTAACGTGTCATTTTGGCGACGTTAGTTAGCAATTTGTCAATTGAATGAAGCTAACGAGCACTAGCGGCAGTTACACCGGAAGTTAAGCGCTGCGGCCTTCAAAATAAAACACTCGACATGTCAAGAGCAGGAAACAAATTAGATCTACCAGTGGTGGAGGAACTATTCAAATCATTTACGTCATTAAAATATTAATACCACACTAAAAAAAACCTCTGTTACAAATAAACGTCCAGCATCGTAAATAATTAAGTAATGTTAAGTTAAAGTATTAAAGTAATAAAGTATTAACACAGCCAATGAAAGTCCAGCACTAAAAAGGTTAAATAATGTTTAATAGTTTGCAAGTATAAGTATTAAATGCCCTAATACGGCCCTCTGACTGTTATAGGGCTGCAACTGATGATTGTGTTCGATACTGATCAATCTGTAGATTGTTATCTTGATTAATTGAGAAACTTGGTTTTACTAACATAAAAAAAATAGTGACAAAGGTCTGTTACAACATCCTTGAGCCTAAAATGACTCCATCAAATGGTTTGTTTTGTTTTGATAATTGATGAATTGGTTTTGGTAATTTTTTAAGAAAAAAAAGTAAAAACTCTCTGAATCCAGCTTCTTGTATTTTCTTGTCTCTTTACTCCTATGTGAACGTAAACTAAACATCTCTGGGTCGTGCATAAAACAAGACACTTGAGGCCGTCGTCTTGGGCTTTGGGAAATGCTGATCAACATTTTTCACCATTGTCTGACATTTCATAAACCAACCAAACAACCAACCGATTAATTGAGAAAAGAATCCACATAGTCAACAATGAAAATAAACATTATTTGCAGTCCTTTGATTGTTTGGTCTTGAGAAAGGACGTCACAATGACCCAGAGCCCAAAATGACACCTTTATTCACAGCTTTTTTTTTGTCCAACCAACAGGCCAAAATTAAAACTGTGAAGTGTTTCTTTTTCTTTTACATGAAAAATGACTTAAATCCTCAAAGTGGTTGTCAATTAATTATCTGTCAATCAACCAATTGATTAATGGTAAGTCGTTGGAGCTGTACTTGTATGAACTGCTGGGGAGTAAAATTTCATGACTTCTATGTGTTATGTGTTTGGAAAAATCTTAATTTATAAAGTAACTAAAGCTGTCCAATAAATGTAGTGCAGTAAAAAACTCAGTATTTCTGTCTGAAGGGTAGTGGAATTAGTGTATGAAGTAGGAGGAAATGGAAATACTCAAGTAAAGTACAAGTACCTCCATTCAACTTATAACCTAATTTTACAGAGCACAAGTACTGAGACAACAAAATGCACTTTAGCGTCTAATCAGAGGGGCAGAAAACAGAAAACGTGACGATTAATACACAGAATAAATAGTAATGTATAGAATAAATAGTAAGGGTATATAAATATCGAAAATATAAACCGTAAGTAGGCAAAATATATTGTGCAGATCAGTACAGTTATGACAATAGTGAGAATGTGTGCAGAATAAACAGCTGTAAGCATGTTATTAGTAAGTGTTTACAGATCAGATGCATACAGTATAGACAGTGGTATAAATATAAATACACTACAGGTTAGATATACACAGTGTGGACAGTGGTATAAATATATATATGGGTATGTGAGTGCATTTATAGTGCAGCTAACTGTACAGTAGTGTAGCAGTGATGATCCAGCAGCCAGAGGCAGAGACAGTGCACCATCACATTTACACTTAAATAGAGGCATAGAGTAGGAATTAAAGAAGCAATTATAATGGCAGCAAGTCGTGTCGATCTACAAATGTAAGTATGTAGAAAATATTTAAAAGTTTACATTTTGTGAGTCACTAAGATGATATTGTTTACCTTCTTCTATAGTTAGAAATTACCAGTTATATTTAAAATTCCTAATTAATGGCATCAAACTGTTGTAGTTTCATAAACTATGAATATTTAGTTTATATATCAGGTGTATTTTTTTATGTGTCTGTGTGCCGGATTAGGACTGTAATTAATGTGATTAATTTTCTTCTGACTGACAATTTGATGAATCAGCTCATAGTTTCAGCTCCGTGCTGCATTATTTCCATAAAATCTGTTAAATAACACACTCACTTTTTGCTCCACATTGATCCCTGTAGTATGTTGTTGTTGGACACGCAGGATTTTACTTTGAAAGTTGTAACAGGAAGTTGTGTTGTCAGACTTTAGTGGATGTGACACATCCAGCTGTCTGCTGTTAAATTTAGGCGACTTTTTAAATGTAGACCAGAAGGTGCAGAAATCTGCCTCGTTTGAATCCACTGAAAGCTACAGAGACTCTTAACTGTGTATTGATCAGTGTTATTGATCAGTCTGCTTTAGTTTAATGTATTGATCAGAAGGCTGGTGGACAATTTGCTGTTATTATGTGGGATCAGCTAATCATATGCTGTCTGAACTCACAAAGGCAGTCACATTTAGGACTTAAGCTTTTATGTTTTAGGCAATTATATATTGTGATACAATGATATGAAGAATAACTTATTATTAATACTCACTATGGGTAGTTTTAAGTCTTTTAATGGCATGTTCTTGAGTAATTTGTATTTTACGCATACAAGAGAAATAGAGGAATATCACTTATAGAATAGGGGCAGGGCTGCTGCTAATGATAATTTATTTTTTGCAGATTATGTTTCCAGTTGATTGACAAATAATTTAATATACAAATGTCAGAGAATAGTGATAAGTTCACAGTCTCCCATCGCCCAGGGTGACATCTCCAAATGTGCTATTTTTCTCCAGCTGTCAGACCCAAACTTACAAATTCCCATCTGAGAAGTTGGAAATGATTTGTCGATAAATCAATTTGTTGGTCAATAATCGATTAATCATTTAGGTTATTTATCAGCAACAAACAACAAGAGTAAGTATTGGATACATTAAAATATTGACCTGACGATGAGGCTAGATGAAAAGTCAGCAGATCACAAACGTTATTACAGTTCATCCTGAGGGGTACATGAATGTCTGAACTAAATTTGATTTTGATCAGTAGCCTAATAGTTGTAGAGATAATGTGGTCTCGACCAAAATGGCTAAAAATGGCAAAAATTCTGACTTTCAGCTTTTTTATTCAGGAAAAATAGCTGCTTTTCTTTGCTTCTGTAGTTGAAATCAGCGTCTTTTCAGCATTTAAAAAGACTTACGTGATGAATATGTATAAATACGATAACAAAACAGGAGTTATTGTTTTGGTCCCCCCAACACCACAGACAGCATGGTCAACCACTGAGGACCACTCACGTCATACGTTTATACCCATGCCAGGAATCTTGGTGTCATTTTTGACTCTGCTCTCAAATTTGACAAACAAATCAACTCTGTGCTGAAAGGCTGTTATTTCCAACTACGAAACATTGCAAAACACAATCCATCATCTCTTACAATGACATGAAAACTGTCATTTCTTCAAGGCTGGACTATTGCAACTCTCTGTACCGGGGTGTCGGCCAGTGATCTTTGTCTCTCCTGCAGCGGGTGCAGAACGCTGCAGTGAGACTTCTCACTGGTAGCAGACAAAGAGACAGCATTACACCAGTGCTAGCATCCCTGCACTGGCTACCTATTAAATACAGCATTGATTTTAAGATTCTTTTATTTGTTTTTAAAGCCATACATGGGCTGGGACACCAGTATATTGCTGAACTTGATCTGTCTGTAAATATGTTGCTCTGAGGGGCTGAATGACATGAAATCTGTTGGTCGTGCTCCAAAGCACCTACAACCCTACAACCCAGACATGAGTTAGCGTTTTAGCACCCCCAGATCCCTTTTCACCTTTTTTTCTACTGCATAAAATACATCAGTAAATAACCCTCTTGTGAATTTTGAAGCCTTTACATGTCTTAAAAAAGATGGTTGCCAACAAGTGGCTAAATGAGACTACAGAATGTCATCATGCTGAACGTGGCTTTACAGGCTTGTTGTGGTGTATTTGTTTATAACCTAATGTTAGCTTTTCAGTTCTGGTGATTGTATTCATGCTACAAAAATAAATTGGTGTTTATTTGTGAAGATTATTTTGCTGAACAAAACATGTATCATAAACTTTGTTTGCCTCAGAGATTATGTATGCAGTAATCTGAAATCCAAATGAAAACGTCATCCCTGCGGCACTCTATTGATAAAGTCTTAATAACATTGGACTAATTGAATCTGTATCAGCACTAAGAAGTGTGTTTGAAGCATCGTGCAACTGTCTTTTTAGTTTGTGGTGGTTAAATGCCTCATAACAGTATTTTACCCTGTTTGATAAACTGCTGAGTTTAGTGTCAGTGTGGTGATGAAGAACCTCTCTTTATGTCTAAACTTGAAGGCCATTTATCAACATTTTCTGACATTTTATAGCCAAAAAAATAATGAATAATTAATCCTGATAGTAATCATCAGATTAAACAGTAATGAAAATAAGGTTTGTTTTAGCCATGGATGAAGAACACAGACAGAAAACACTGATTTTAGGCTTTCTTTGTGCCGGTTTTGTCCACATGAAGCAGAGGTAAGATAAATATTTTGGCTGTTTAATGGAACCGTCAAATTGGGGTGCAACCAATGATTACTTTCATTATCCCTTTATCTGCCCATTAATGTTCTGATTTATGGGTTTGCTGATAAATTGCAATTAAACAGTGAAGCAATTTCCCAGAGCCCAAAGGTGACGTTTTTAAATAGTTTGTTTTATCTGACCAACAGTCCAAAAATCCAAAGCTGTTCAGTTTATTATCATTTATTATAAACTGAACACACTAAGAAACATCAAACCAGCAAATGTTTGGCTTTTTTGCTAAAAAAAATACTTTTATTTGATGATCAAAATAGTTGCCAGTTAATTTTCTATTGATCAACAAATCGAATAATCGACTAATCATTGCAGCTCTGCCTAAAATCCCTCCCAAATCCTGTGACATCAACCAGAAAATGAAAAAGATGGACTGCTGCAGCTGAAGAAATACTGAGGGAATCTGTAGGTGATGAAATAAAGACCCTTGTTATGAAGTTATGAAGAAAAAAAACATTTGGTAGATTGATTGATGGATGGATTAATTGGAGGATTGATGGATGGTAGATACAGCATAGTATCATGATATTTTTGTGTGGCAATATCGTATTGTCATACAGTGCCAAATATCTTTTTTTTTTATTATGTTAATTATTAAAATTACAACACAAATTCATTAATCGATTGTTTTTTTTTCAGTCCACAACCTACATTTTACTGCTGCTGTAAAAAATGGCTGAAGTGAGATGAACAGACTGAAAACTTTTTCTTATAAAATTCAACAGATTTTGACAACGTTTTCCTTTGGGGACAGAATTTACAATTTGAAAAGAAAAGGTAATTAAATTGCAATATATCACAATATATTTTATCGCAATATTCAGCATATCGCAACATATTTAAAATCGCAATTATATTGTATAGTGACTCAAGTATCGTGATAATATCGTATCGTGGATCCTCTGATGATTCCCACCGTTGATGAATGGATAGATAGCTGGATAGATGATGGGTGGATGATGGATGGTTGGATCAGTTGGTGGTTGTGTTTCAGGCTCTGTACAGACAGACATTGTGCTGCCCCGCCTGTCTGTCAGCAGGTTTTACTTCCTGGTTTTCTAACTGCTCCGTGGCACCCACCTGGCTGCGGGCATCATACCCCCCCTCTCTCTTTCTGCCCCTGTTGTTGCATCACGTCACAGTTATCTCTCCCCGGCACCCAGAGGGTTATTTGCAGAGAAGTGGAGCTATCTGTTGAAGCAGATCACAGTTGCCACTTTGACGCCTTCTTTGCATGTAGCCTGAGAGTGTTTGTTAGTGCGAGAAAGAGTGGTATTAATAGTAGGGTTGTGGTGAGGAGTGTGTGCAGCTGTGTGAATGAATTTACTGAAGTGTTGAACATAGTAAGTCCAGTGCCTGAACTATTGGCTGCAGCCGTGGTGTCACCGTACAGCTCACAGTATAAGTGCAGACCACTACAGTTTTAAATTACGTCGATAACAGGTGGAGTTAAGAGAATAAACATGGGAAGGAGTCTGCAACTAACATTATCATTATCAGTCAAGCTACAACTAAAGATTTTTGTCATTATTAACAGTCCAAGTTTAAAGATATTTAATGCACAGTGATATAAAACAAATAAAAGCAGTGAATTCACACATTTAAGAACCCAAACATATTAAGCATTTTGCTGATAATATCAAGTTATATTCTGTCAATATACTAATGAGAATAACACGTAATTTCTGTGCAAAATTTATTAACTTGATAATAAAAGTGCACAAACGCTGCAATTTTCATAGTCATCACACAATATAACTGCAGCATAAGAAGAAGAAGGTATAGTTTATTGATCCCCGAGGGAAAATTCACACATGCACATATATATGCATTAAATGAAAAAGATGTCAGTGCCAGGGCGCTGCCTTGGACAGGTCCCCTGAACAGTTGGGGGTTTGGTGCCTTGCTCAAGGGCACCTTGGCAGTGCCCAGGAGGCTGACTGGCACCTCTCCACCTACTAGTCCATGTTCCATATTTGAGCTGAGTCTAAGTTGGTAAAGTGGGTCGGCCATTAATCACAAGGTTGGTGGTTGGATCCCTGAGCTCTTCCCATCCGCCAAATGTTTGGCATCACAAGTTACCAGAGCCTGATGTGGTGCCTTAAAATGGCTTATATTTATTTAAAAACCCGAATAAATTCACTAACAGTGATGGGAAACAAAGAAAAGCACCAAGACCTTTTTTCAAGTCATTGTTTAATTTTCTACCTGTCTACAAGTTTTATACAAAAGAACCAAATTATTGAGACAGATCAGAAGGCAGAAACTGATGCAGCAGACGTTGGCCATATTTAACTAACTCTGTGAAAGACTATGAAGTCATTTGGTATCTTAAGTAGAGTTTGTTCACTGGTCCATCATTCCTATATTCTGACTTTTTCATAGCTTAATTTACCCTCATATTATGTAGTGCAATACTGCTTGGGCCGCCACATGTCCCACTTATTTCAGTAAAATGTTTCTAATTCAAGAGAAGTTTTTGAGATTTCATCTTTTTCTCTCTCTAAAAAATATCAACTTTTATCAATTTTTAATGTGAACATAAACCATACTTGTGTATTCATGTATGAATATGTGCATCTCACTCATGATTTGCTGAGCCTTTTCCAGAACTTTTTTAAGTCTTCCTCAAACATTCACTCATACTCCACAAGACACTCTGAGGATCTTTATTTTCCATATTGTCTGACTTCTCTTAATCAATATTCACTGAAATACAGAGGACCATCTCTTTGGAACAACTTTCTTCCATCTCTACAATCATCTACATAATCATTATTCAAAAAGCATCTGAGAAGGACTCTAACTTGCAAAGATTCTCAACAGTTTATTGATTTATTTGTAATTTGTTCATGTTTGTTGTTGTAAATTGCACATCAAAAAAATCATAAGCCATTTTTGTCTTCTGTCCTCTCCTGCACAGTGTTTTAACTTTTAATTTCTTTTTCCTGTATTTTCTATACATGTATGTGCAGATAGTCTAAACTAAACAATTGCCACACATTAGATATCTTGAATTTGCTGTGTGAAACCCTGCAATGTTGATTCAACAGTTTATGACCCTGCTGGTTGTATCCAAATGATGGATAAGTATTAAATGTCAGTTGCAGAACTGAGGCCGCTGTGACATGGCAGTAAAAAACAGCCGTGTTTGCAATGCAAATGATAACGTCTGATTTACATGTTGGGTCATCTCTTCCATCTCTCAGGTCCAGATCTCAATGTGAGGACGCCTCCCACCTCCACTCAGGCTCTGGCTGAGCAGCTCATCAACCAGGAGCTGCAAAGTCATCCTGCATGTTTCCCCTATCAGTATGTTGACTACCAACCCCAGGGGCACCAGTACCAGGCCCAGGGGAACCCCAGAACCTTTGACTGCCCGAGTATCCAGATCACCTCCATTGCTCCGAACAATCATGTGGAGCTGGGCAGTAGCCAGGAAGCTTTGGCGGTGGGCGGGGCAGAGGGGGGTTACCCTGAGCTGTCCTGGTCCAGAGGCCAACTCTACCTGCCTCTGGACCCCTGCTACCGGGATCCAGCGCTCTGCCCAAGCCCCTGCAGCAGCCTGTCCTCCAGGAGCTGGATATCTGACCTCTCCTCCTGCGAATCCTTCTCCCACATCTACGACGATGTAGACGGGGAGCTTCGCGATGCTGCCCGCCTCGCCCTGGGGTCCCCTCAGGGGTCACCTCTGGGGTCCCCAGGCTGTGGGGGAGGGGCCTTTGGCGTGGAGCTATGGCAACAACAATACCAACATCCCTCAGCCTTTAGTCCAGCGCTGTCTCCCCATCAGTCACCTCGCCAGTCACCCCGCCAGTCACCCTGCCCCTCCCCTCGCACCAGTGTCACAGAGGACAACTGGCTGAACCGCCGGCCCACCTCCAGGTACATGTCATCAGGGTTCACAGATGTCTCATTAGTAACATTATTTGTTTATTTAGAGAGTCTCATTGGGATCAAGATTTGTTTTTCAAGACCCTGTGGACCTTTTTCTCCCTGGGTTTTGCCTCTCAGGCTACCCACTGACATCATTGTGTTTGAACCTACGCCCATATGCACCCAGCATACAAAAACAACACACACAAAGCCAGACAGCCAACAAAAAGCTTTAAAATCTGATTAAATGAATCTAGTTTGAGGACACTGCAGCCTGAAAACCACTTCTACCATGCTTGGTGTGTACTGAATAGTTATTGGGTGATGTTTTTGTTGTTGTTGATACGACAGCAGAGCTTTAAAGAGTAATATCATGAGACAGTTATTCCCTCTCGTCAGTAAGGAAGTCTAGAGGGTTTTTTTTAAATTTGCCATTAGTTTAGACAAACAAACAGCTTTTTTAAATTTAAGACAAGAAACCTAGTTTCTTTTGTGTGTGTGTGTGTGTGTGTGGGGGGGGGGGTCAAATGTATGAATCTTGATTCAACCCTGACACAATCCTTCAAATCCTGACCACACTTCTTTCTCAGGCCGTCATCCAGACCAACGTCCCCGTGCGGGAAGAGACGCCACTCCAGCGCTGACCCCCGCGCCCGCTCGCCCTCCCCTCACCACTCCCCCAGCCCCACGCCAGGTGCCTCTCCACGGGGCAGCGTTACAGATGAAACCTGGGTGGGAAGCCCCGCCACTGCCCTGGGGCCCCTCCTGATGTCTGGATACCAGGAGCTGGACGTCCCCTCCAAGACCAGGAGGACTTCGGGGACCCAGCTTGGCCTCCTGGCCGGTCAAGGAGACCCCGGGTTGGAGCAATTTTTGGATTCTCCTGGGGAGGAGGGACGTGAACAGGACGGTCTGGCTGATCTCTTCCTTCAGGTGCCCTCCCACTTCAGCTGGAACAAACCCAAACCTGGGAACCCTCCTCTGTTCAGGTGGGCACTATGATAATACAGGTGTTGCTACTTTTAAACGTGTTAGTTCTCTGAACATTAGGCAGCATTCCTTTGTGTACTTTTATCTTGTTTTTAATGAAGTAAACGCTTAAATGAGTCAGATAAGGAGGTTGACACCACTCTCATATCCACTGGTTAAGAGTTGGGCTACAGCCAGCAGTTGGTTAACTTAGCTTAGCACAAAGACCGGAAACGGGGAAACAGCTAGCCTGGCTCTGTCCGAAGTGGGCTTGTGCTGATTGGTGATAGGATCGTATATATCTGTGATTGAAGGGATGATTGGCAAATACTTTTTCTTACGTCGATATTTAGATGATTTTTTTTGCGCCCTACTGTGCATTTAGAGATGTTTCTGGTGGAGCAGCATGTCGTCCTGCTGAGCTCCGTTAAAAAACATGAGTGACGGGTAAATTTTAATTACTCAATTACAAACCATTTTTTCATCTTGTTTCCATGGATCTGACACTCTTTTTTGCCTGCGCACCAAATTTTGTTCTGCGTCCGTAAAAGTATTTAACACTATGGATTGTGATATTAAAATTAAGATAATAATGTTAAACAGAACGTGGTGCTGTGATATTCTTGCACCAAGCACAGAAACATAGGCATTTAAAAGGGAGCCATTGTTTTAATATAGTAGATATTGCTAGTGAATAGATTGCTTTAATGTTTAGATATTTTCAATCAAATGTTCACACTCTTTTTTCCTTACACACATAATTTTAACTTCAATGTAACTCCCTCCTATTCCTGCCACGCCTTGGCGAGTCAACTGCCTATCAGTAATAGTGAGTAACCACGATTATAGGACATGAAAATACAAACACTTGCCCAACCCATAGTCCAAAGTCACAGGTAACAAAATCCCCCTACCAGCACTTCTAAACCTCACTGAATAACAGATTTTATCTCGTTTGCTTAATTCGTATAAAAACAGAAGTGAAACGACAATTTACAGTTTTACTTCAGTTATGTGATGACTATTTCTTAGCTGCACTTGTTGCCTGGCAACTGCTTCCAGTCAAGAAAAAGTCCGGCAAATGATCTGCCGTGTTAATTAGTGAGTTTTACAGGTATTGGTAGCTGCATGTTTGATCTTTGGACAAAGTCTGGCTCTTTATGTTAAGCTAACAGGCTTTTACTGTACAGACATTAGATTGATCAAAGTCAAGCATATTTCCCACAGTGTCTTGCTTTCAACTTCCTCTGACTCGGATAATGTCTCATTTCCTATTTCAATCCTCAAAGTTTAGTAAATGGAAGCTTTTTTGGGATCCCTTGAACTCCCTTCAGAGATCCACCACTTAGAGGGATAGTGTAAGCTCTGGTGTCATGCAGTGATTGATCAGTGTGTGTCTGTTGACTCTGCCTTCAGGACCTCGTCACCCCCTCCTCTGGACTGGCCTCTGCCTAACCAGTTTGACCAGTGTGAGCTAAAAGTGGAGGTCCAGCCCAGGTCCTACCACAGGGCGCATTACGAGACGGAGGGCAGCAGAGGGTCCATTAAGGCAGCTACCACAGGACATCCTATCATCAACGTAAGTCCTTATTTCTTCTTCACACTTAATTTGTGCATGATTTAAAAGGATGTTTTGATCCTGCAAAAAGTTGCTTATGTAACTTACAAATAAATTCCATTTAATTCTGACTTCTGTGGTCAGGTCTCTGAGGGAGAGGTCTAAATATCAACGGAGCTTCCTGGGAAAATGATGGTAAACTCACAGGTCATTATTTGGGAAACACGTGACTTGTGACGTAAACGCAAACATTAAAGTGCAAGACATGATGTCAAGAAATGTTCTGATGGAGGCATTCATGGCAGCAGGACCATTAAAGGTCACATTTCAAGATATTGAATGCTTACACAAAGAATAAGCAATCCCTTAACCAAACCTTAAAGGGACAGTTCACCCCAAAATAATAAAAAAAAACAACAATTTTTTTTGTCTTACTGTGTAGGGCTGTTTATCAGTCTAGATAGCTTTGTTAGTATTGGAGATATCGGCTGTAGAGATGTCTGCCTTCTCTCCAGTATAACAGAACTAGATGACACTCAGTTTGTGGTGCTCAAAGAGCCAGAAAATACATTTGAAAAACTCAACAGCAATGTCTCTTTGCAGAAATCATGACCCAGTGACTCCAGATAATCCACAGACCTTGTTGTGAGCAGTCTGATGTAGAAACAATTTTCTTTCTACCGAACTACACTGGCCAACTGTATCAAGACGTAGAAGGAAGCGTGCATCTCCTACTAGCTCACCTAGCACCACTGAGCTAGCTAACGTTACAGCTTAGCCAAGAAGGACGTCATTTATGTTTGCAAGACACATCCATGAGTAGATGCATGCTTCCTTCTGTGCGGTGATACGGTTTCTGGGTGTAGTTTGGTGCAAAGAAAATAGCTCCTACATGAAACAGCTCCCAATAACCACTGTGGATTATGTTGAGTAACTGGGTCATGCTTTCTGGAAAGAGACATTGCTGTTGAGTTTTTTAAATGCCCAGTGCCATCAAGTTTCATTATACTGGAGAGAAGGCAGACATCTCTACGGCTGGTATCAATTGATCGTTTTAAATTAATCATCAAGAAAATCTGCCAAACAGTCTCTGGTCCCAGCTCCTGCAATAGGAGGGTTTTCTACTTTCCTCTGTTTTATATTACTGTGAACTGAGTGTGTTTTTGGGTTTAGACAACCATTTACTGATCCACCAGTGGTGTATCAGAGAGCAGCTGAGGTTGTGTTTTGCTGGTGGATCCTGGCAGGCAGGCCGAGGCAAGTAAATCTCCATCAAGGCCTCGTATGTAACGGACACCAGCAGGGCTATTCTGGGTGTCACATTCTCAGGCTGCTGCCGAAGCCAGATGAGCTTCCTGCTGCAACATGTGTAAAAACTCACAGTAAGAGCTGCTGGGTCACACAGGAAACAGAAAATCATGCTCAAACCTTATTTTACACAGTGATTAAAAAAAAAAAAATCCTAGTGTAAGAATCAATTTTTCACACATTTTTATATTTATTTCTTTGTTTTGTGTCTTTTATTATTTATTTTTGTATGTTTAATTTATTTACTTTTCAATTTTAAAAGCTTTAAAAGCTACTTTAGTTTATTTTTAATTTTTATTTCATTTATTTACTTTTATTTGGTTCTTATTATTTATTATACAACAATATTTCTTGGTCTCAGCCATTTGCACTTCCAAGTCTGAGGCCATGGTTCTCTGCAGAAAAACGTTGGATTGTCCCCTCTGGGTTGGGAGAGAGTTACTGCCTCAAGTGAAGGAGTTGCAGTATCTCAGGGTCTTGTTCATGAGTGAGGGTAAAATGGAGTGTGAGATGGATCTGCGGTTTGGTGCGGTGTCTGCATCTATATGCTGCGCTGCACCGTCTAGGTGAAGAGGGAGCTGAGCTGGAAGGCGAATCTTTCGATTTACTGGTCCATCTACGTCCCAACTCTCACCTGTGGTCATGAGCTCTGGGTAGTGACCTACAGAATGAGATTGCGGATACAAGCGGCTGAAATGAGTTTCCTCCGTGCGGTGGCTGGGCTCAGCCTGATAGGGTGATAGGGTGAGGAGCACAGACATCCAGAGGGAGCTCAGAGTAGAGCTGCTGCTTCTTTGCATCCAAAGGGGTCAGTTGAGGTGGTTTGGGCATCTAATAAGGATCCTCCTGGGTGCCTCCCAGGTGTTCTGGACACGTCCCACTGGTAGGAGGCCCCGGGGCAGACTCAGAACAAGCTGGAGAGATTACACATCTCATCTGGCCTAGGAACACCTCAGGGTCCCCCAAGAGGAGCTGGAAAGCGTTGCTGAGGAGAGGGGTGCTTTGCTTGGCCTGCTGCCCCCATGGCCCCAGATAAGCAGATGAAAATAAATGGATGGATTTATTGGTCTTATAAATTAGCTGGGGAGCTTTTTAAATAGGAAACGCAAATACATATTCTTTATATTTCTTGATGTAAATAAATCTTTGCCTATTAAGGATGCAGGCAACCCTGAGACAATAAGTCGTCTTTTTTATTTGTAGTTATTGCGTCATCATGAAACTAGTCAGAGGCAAAAGCACAAATCAACAGTGGTGTCAAAAATAAAAGTTCTGCCTTGTAATTATAGCATCACATGAGGCTAACCAGCATGGACTATTTAAAAGTACAGTGAGACATATTAGGAAATAGCTTATTTTCTTTCTTGTTTGTAAGGATTAATTACATGTGTGTGGTCAGTATGAAGCTGTCGTCAGGATGTGGTTAGCTTAGCCTTGCATAAAGATTGGAAACGGGACACAGCTAGTTTGTAAAAATAAAAACACCTAACACCTGTCAAGCTCATGAATTAACACTTTAAATCTCATTTGTTGAATTCATACAAAAACAATTAAATAGATCCAGCAAATCACTCCCTGTGAAACAACTAACATTTGTTTTTACATTTCTGTGTTCTGCTTCCAGTTTTAACGTTCAGACATGCTACCCACATTCTAGCTCTAGCTCCATACTTAGCACAGACATGACAATGATATTGAATCACGAATCAGGCCAGAATATGCTGCCAAACTTGCATCCACTTCACTCTGAGTTCAGTCAGAATTGGGCATCTGACATTTGAATTGTGTCACTCTTTCTGTAACTTTTTACACATGTGGACAGAATATGAACATACTCCATCCTTAGGTCTTAACAAGTCTAAGTGACATGACCGTTGAGTAGTTTAGGAGCTGTTCATCAAATGTGTATCGTTGTATTTTTGTCTTCAGTTGATTGGATACAGCGATCAGCCGCTCAGCCTGCAGCTGTTCATCGGCACCGCGGACGACCGCTACCTTCGCCCTCATTCCTTCTACCAGGTCCATCGAGTGACGGGGAAGACGGTTACCACCACCTGCCAGGAGAAAATTATTGGTGGCACAAAAGTCCTGGAGATCCCTCTTCTTCCAGAAAACAGCATGTCTGCCAGGTAACGGGGAAAAGCATAAGAACTAGATTTAGTGTCAGAGTTGACTTTTAAGACATTGAAATCTCTGATGTCTATTTCTGTCAGTGTTCTCCAACTCAAATAATGGTTTTAGTAACAGTAGCAGTATTAACAGAAGTAGCAGTAGTTGAGGTAGTGGCAAGAACAGAACTGAGCTTTTCTGACCGAAGCAGCTTTGAGCACATTTCAAAATTGCTCTTTATTGCCAAATCCTTGAAAAAAAAAGTTGTTTTAACAGTTGTTAGAGGAGATTAAACACAGTAACACTTTTTGAAAAGTTTTTAAGATTTACTGATTCTTAAAAGAAAGGGTCCACATAATGTTGAACTTTTCATTTAAATGCTACTGTTGTCTTTGCTCATGTTTGTTGCCTTGAGCCTTCAGAGCTGCTTCACATGCTTTAACTTGCCTGACAGGGACTTTGATAATGGGCAGGAAATTGTTGATGTTATTGATAATATTCAGTTGTGGGGTACCACAGGGCTTGATTCTTGGGCCAATCTGGTTTTCATCATAAATACTACCACAGACATCTTTTTTCATCTTTTTTTTCTACCTCAACAATATTTCCAGGCTGACTGAATAGTTTTCAGATTAAATTTATTTATATTTTCGATTGTTGTCATTCCACTTTGCTAAGGAATTAAAATAAACCCTGAGAAGCAGCCGTGAAGGTTAAAGGGCTAATGCTAAATGACATAAGTTGTAATTGTAGGGTAGTAGTGTCAGCAGCAGCAGTTGTAGTTGTAATCTCAATAAGGTTTTTGTGGTAGAAGTAACAGCAGTAGCAGCAGTAGTACTAATACAATCAGAATCTGATAGTAGTCCATTAGTGGTAGCATTAGTAATGTTGGTATTAGAACTAACAATACATAGTAGTGGTAATATTTTTAGATTTAGTTTCTGCAGAGTTCACGCCTATCCTTAAAAAGACTCAAGAATTCATTGAGTTCATTAATCTAAAATAAAGCTTTAATTGGTTTATTGGTTAAAATGTCTTAAATTTAAATTTAAATTTAAGTTTCAAAAAAAAAAGTTATGGGGTTTCTTATTAATCTTTTTTTCTGATGTTACTTTGTAAAATGTCAAAGTAATTTGTAACATCTTTCGTAACATTTTTTCGTAACATTCTTTTCCCATAGACCCCCATGTTAAAATGCCCAACGTTACAGCAAAAATTAACATCTTTCGTAACATCGTTTTTTTAAAAATAATTTACTACTCTACTCACTAAACCAATGGGTACCCCAAAGATGGGATTTTCCAAGCAGCGGATAAATTGTCTGGACGTAGAAGTTTAGTGAAAATCTATTTTAACACGTCACCTTAGGTTCTGGGAAATTTTACAGCATTTTTCACTATTTCCTGACATTTTAATGACAAAATGATTAATTGAGAAAATATCGGGGAGACTAATTGACAATGAAAATAAACATTAGTTGCAGCAAAGTGGCAACCCCCTTGGGCTGAAAAGTGATGCCAACACAGACGTTCCAAAAACTGCAGTTCTTTGAGCAGCCGCTTGAGGCCAGATCCAGAATCCAGTCAGTCCGCATAGACCCCCATGTTAAAATGCTCAACGTTACAGCAAAAATTAACAAGTTTACATGCTGGTACAAAAACAGTTTCTACAGCTAATTTCCCTCTTCGTGACAAATGTATGGGGGAACTCACCTGTTTACATTTTATGAAGAATTAAAGTCACGCATAATTAAGGGCGGGCCACTTTGAATGACAGGCTGTCTCGCTCCTCCACAACTCCAGCCTCTCACCCAAATATGGTCACTTCTGGCCCCAAAAAACCAACATGGCTATGATCAAAATGCCGGACTTAAGTCTTCAGAATGGGATTTAACAAACCGATAGTTGTTGTCATGGTAGCTATGTCCATTATTTTTTACAGTCTACGGTTGAAGCCATCTACCAAAAACTGGACGTTTTAACATACAGGCCAAGCTGACAACTGATGAGATTATTCCAGCCACCGTGAGACTGCTTATCTCCGCCGGTTCTGCGGTTCTTCCATGCAGCTTGTTTTTCCTGTATGTTTTGTTTCATCGCTTGCACCATACATTTGCATTATCGCCCTTCGCAGTCAGCAGGAATGTGAGTCACCTCTGTATCCTTGTACACGTCAGTGCAGTACAAGATACAAACAAAAGATGGGCTCACTCATATAAACCTTCCTCTGCAACCCTGCTGGTGGTTTAACACTCTATATGACACCTTGAAAGTAGTAGATAAAGCATGATGTCTTTTTTTTCCCCACAGCATTGACTGTGCCGGCATTCTGAAGCTGCGAAACGCTGACATCGAGCTGAAGAAAGGAGAGATGGATATCGGGAGGAAGAACACGAGGGTGCGAGTTGTGTTCAGGGTCGCCGTCCCTCAGCCAGATGGTCGGATGCTGTGGCTGCAGACGACTTCTAATCCTGTAGAGTGTTGTGAGTTACCTGTAATAATAATATTACATTTAACAAAGAGCAAGAGACAGAAAGGTTTTCTTTTTTAATTCGAAACCAGATTCTAATCGAATAAGCAGAGGAGGAAATTCAGGGGATGTGAGGTTTTGCTTCATGCTTGTGCAAACTTTAGGCAAGCACAGATCATAATCAGTGAGGGGTTTTTTGTTTTTTTTTACAGCTGAGTTAACGTTTCTTCTGTCTCAGAGAATATGCTTCTGCTGTCATGTAACGAAGAAACCACAGATGCATTTAAATACCAAAACAAAAACTGTGTTGTTTTTTAGCCCAGCGCTCCGGCCAGGAGCTTCCTCAGGTGGAGAGCTTCAGTCCAGCCAGCTGTTCTGTGGACGGAGGAGAGAAGCTGCTCATCACTGGATCCAACATCAACTCACAGTCCAGGGTTGTTTTCATGGAGAAAGGGCCTGGTGAGATCAGTTCACTTCCATTCACTGCACATTAAATATGTTTACATGTGATTTTATTAAACGTCCTGCTGCCTGAATGACACAAGTGTTGTATCTCTTCAGATGGAAGATCACTGTGGGAAATTGACGCCAGAGTTGTGCCTGATAAAAGCAGTGGAGTAAGTGGAAAAAGTATTTTTAAAAACTCCATTAAAATGTGTTTAACACTTGAAGATACCAGTTTTTATTTTTTTGCATTTGACAATATCAACCAATTATCATTTAGTCATCACATGGAAATTATACAAAGTACAGCTTCTGTGAAATGCGATCCCATCAGCTGCTTTAACTTATGCACTGTGATCTTTTGCGTCTTCTGACAATGTTGGCTGCTGCTTCATAATTGGCCTTGTTTCCGGATGGTTCAGATAACCCATGGTTTGTGGTTATGGAATGATTATATGTCCACACATCCCCACCTCAACATGACAATCTGAAAAACCAAAATAAAATACTTAAAAAAAACAAACAAAAAACAAGACGATCCGCACGGTCGCTGTTCCTGAACACAGCAGTGCAGATTTCCACAGCAGGACCAGCCGACACACCAGTCCATATTCACCGTAAAACACACACCTCCCCTCCTGCTCTCACCACAGTCCTCTGCTCTGTCTGATCACAGCATAGCAAAAGAATCACTGGGTTGAGTGGTGCTGTCCGGGCTTTTAGCCAAGTTCCGGTGAATTAAACGATATTCAGTTCCTGTTGGAAACTGATGCAACACGAAGGAAGCCCAGTTTATTTCCAACGCCTGTTCAGTGGCTAGCAGGAAGCTAGTTCAGCTTGTGTCCATTCCTCTCCATCTTTTCCTAGATGTTTACTGATGTTAATAATTGAAAACATCAACCTGGCTAGCTAACTGGAAGTCAGCCAAAGGAAAGTTTACAGACTGTAGAGTTGATTTCCTCATCCTGATGTTGACCTGCAGCCACACGCCACCACCGTCCAAATCCAACCACAAAAAGCACCACCAGCACCTGCAAAAACAGACATAAGAGCCTAAATTTAGCATCAATTTGGCAGAGCTGACAGAGAGGCATGTGTGAGCGTCTGACTGAGAGTCGAAATGTCAAGAATAAAGTCCAAATGTTAAGAGTAAAGTTGAAACACTGACTCAAGAATAAAGATGAAATGTCAAGAATAAAGTCAGCTCCTTTGGTCAGATCTGGTCTGATCAGATTGTGTCTTGTGGTACAACATGTCCTCTCTATATTGCACACGTGTAGTTTGCACAAATGTAGCCATCTCTCCAAGGTTTGTGCGGTTTCTCTTTCTGAACGAACACATCTGAAGTGCAATTTCAAAAAGGCATTTTTTGTAGAGGCAGCCATCTGCACTCAGCTGGCAGTTTAATTGTTCTCCTCCTGATTCATTTTTACTATTGGCTGGCACTGACACTGGAAGTTCGATTTTATTCTCAACATTTCAGCTTTATAAATTTATTCTTGTAATGCAAAATTAGAAAAAATAATTCTTCCTCTTCTTATTTTTTTCCTTATCTATGGCACTGATAATCTTCTGTAGTTCACATATAACATTAATATGATAATTAAGAAAAAAAAAAAAAAAGTTTTTTTTGTGATTCCTGTGACAGAATTGTGATGTGGGGGATACATGACATATGAAGATAATAAAGTATCAAATTTGTCAGACATGAAATATATAACTCTAAAATGTAAAAGATAAATTTAAAAACATCATCATACATTTCTGTGGTTTAACAGGGAAGACAGGTTATGAGCAACACTTGTTCCCAGTCCTCTGGCTGCAGCATTTGTTACCAGACTGGGAGTAAATATAATTTGGCAAAAAAAAAATCTGAAATAATTACAGAACTGAAAAGGATTTTTTCCCCATAAATACTTTGACTTTAGTGCACTCTGTGCTTGTTTCGTCATCCCTCCCGATCTGTCCCACAGCAACAGGATACTGATGTTACAGTTACGTGTTCAACCAGCCAGCTAACATGTGAAAAACAAAAACCCAGAGTCTTTCTCCAGAGGAGGCAGGGGAAATAACAGTTACCCATCATGTGTGTTTGTTCACAACATCCAAGTGTATGATCTAATTAAAGCCGTACCGTTATTTTGGTCGTGATACCACAGAGAGAAATATTTCCCTCAGGAGATGGTGGAGACCAAACAGCTTTAAGTTGAGATAGAGAGGTAAACTTATAACTGTTACACCTGGAGCGACATCAGGGAGAGTCACATAGTGTTTCCTAAGCCAGCTACATCACAGACACAAAACAGCTGTCAAGACTGGACACCTGTCAGTGGGTACGTTTACATGCACACTAATATACCCTGTATGCTGAATATGACAGTGTTCTGAATTCGATTTGGGTCATGTAAACGTTTGGATTTTCTGAATTACTCTGACTGTAGTCTGTGCCACCTCTCCAATTTTTCCTTAAATTCTTAGATGTACTTGTGAGACCTCCACCTCCTCCTGTCCTCCTGCAGTTGTCACCATGGAGCGCTTGGCTTGAGCAATGTGTTTTTTGGTTCCATTTTTGTGCCAGACATTATTTCCTTTTAATTTTAGTTACTGTATGTTCCACTGCTGACACGGCATTTATAGCATCACAAATATTTTTCCGTTGCTGGGTTTTTGATTTTCCTATAACGCCAGCTCTAACTCTCCGGGAAAAAAAAATCACATGTTTACTTTTAAGTTGATTTAACAGGATGCTGATGTCACTTCTGCAGAAGTTCTGCTTCCTCTTACAGCCTTTTTTGGTGGCATCTTTAAAATTGTTGGGCATGTGCAAGAGTGTTTGCACAGCACCTGCCCTTTTAGATGTTCAGTGGGTGTTACTTATGCTTAAAAACAATCAGCCACATGCCTCTAATTTAGAATCCAGTCGGTTTCATCATCCACCACATCTGGGTAAGGGCAGATTTAGATGGTTAAGAACATTCGACATCATCAGCTCAACCAAAACAGGCAAAGGATATTTAAGTTTTCCATAGTAGCTATCGGCAGCTATCCCCAGTTTCCAAAGAGTATCAGTGTAAGTTCTTTGCAGTTACTATTTCCAGTAGTGGCAATGGCGGACAGTGGAACAACTGAAGTGGGAAACAAAAAGCAGTGATTGGTTGAAAGAAATACAAGCAGCCGGGGCGTTTTTTTTTCTCCAATCTTAAAGTGAGAGTCAGCCCAGCCAGACCTTTCTTTTCTTGAGAAAGGTCTGGTGAGCGAGACTACTTTTCTGATAAAGATTTGATGTTTTTTTTTTTTTTTTTAAATTTTTACTTCAGGTCTCTCATACAACATTTAATAACTGGTATGTAACACACTATAATGTGGTTGTAAGGAGCTTTAAACACACTTGAATTGTTTATTAATGTGCAGTATTGGTCAGAAATGACTAACTTCTCCTATGAAGTCATTCATTATTAGGTCATACAGCAGCATACATTAATGGAATTACTTGTAATGGAGTATTCTTACACACCGTAAAACTTCATTTAATAGTCCGGGCTATTAAATCACTGAAATCATTGGGCGTCGGTGGCTTAGTGGTAGAGCAGGCTCCCCATGTACAAAGCTGTTGCCGCAGCGACCCGGGTTCGACTCCAGCCCATGGCCCTTTGCTGCATGTCACTCCCTTTCTCTCCCCCCCTTTCACACTTGTCTGTCCTATCCATTAAAGGCTGAAAATGCCCCAAAAAATATCTTAAAAAACCCCAAACAAAAACAAACAAAAAAAAAAAAAACCACTGAAATCAACAGGCCTATATTTTAGACAGGCCTTTAACTCCTTTCACACAAAACTGTTGCTCAGCAAAGATGGGAAATAAAATCAAAAGTATTTATTTGAACCAGTATTAATATTACTTGTTTAAAATTTCATTCAGTTATTCATTCATTTCATTTGATCTAGTGCTGACAGATGGCACTCAGCATACTGACACAACACCACTTTCTCCTGTTAAACAATACTCACAACTTGAATTAATTTTATTGAAAAGCCCTTTTGATTATTTTGATCTGAGGATAATTATGGACCAAAGTAATATGAATAACTAACTGGGTAATTGAGGAATGGACACATGATTTGAGGTAGCCAGCAATCTTTTTTTTTTCATCCAAAGAGCTTCTTTTAAAGAAATGAACTGCTTGGCAACGAGACCAGGCGTCTAGTTGAGACAGGTGTTAATTTGTCAAAATGTGTGGCCAAACCAGGCTAGTAAAAGGGACTTGGCTTTTGACTGAAGTTTCACAGTAGTTGTATTGGTACTTTTATAAGTAAAGGATGTGGATAGTTTTTTCACTGCTGCCACCAGGATGAAAAATGTTGCTCCAGGTCTACTCGATGTTTAATTAGGCAACTGTTTGCTCACATGTTTGCCCCAACAACAAGGGAACGACAGGTGTTGCGTCTTTATCAAATTATTGTGGAGTTCTTTTGCCCTCAAGTGGCCAAAAATTAATTATTGCAGCTTTAATGCAGCTTTGTTTACTTACACTTGTACTGTGTGTTATGTGTTATGTAATGAGCCAAGGGAGTCGAGGAGGCTCGCAGTGCACTCTGGATCAAACTTTCCCATTTTAAAGGGTCAACCTTGCAGAAATTCACTCTAGTTTTTGGAGCATTTAAACATCACTTAAGATGGTGACGAGGATTCCATTGAGAGGAAGTACAGAGAGGAAGTCAATGAGAGCTTTTTGAAACCACAAAGAGTCTGGGTGTGTGGAGAGGAGGATGATTCAGGAGTCACCATGACATCATTGATTATAGTTCATTGGTAAAGGGTTTCCTTGGAAGAGAGTGAGACTCTTTGATTCTTTTTGTTTCATTTCCTTCAAAGTAATGGAAAAAGCTTTAATGTTACATTTTGTCCATGAATGTCTTGTTCTCCTTTTGTAATTGAGCAGATGTTGCAACGCCACAAATTACACTTTTGTTTGTTTGTATGTTGAAATCAAGACTTCTGGCTTCCTCAGAAACATTTTGCTGATGCATCTTCATTGTTGCATAGAATTGCAGTGGGGTGAGGGGTGTAGCCTGCTTTGGGTATCCGGTATGAATTTGTCATCAGCTTAAAAAGAGCATTGGTATTTAAAGTGTGTAGGATTTAGGGGGAGATATTGGCGAAAATGCAATATAATATACTACAATGTTTTCTTTAGTGTTTAATCACCTGGAAAATAAGAATTGTCGTGTTTTTGGTAACCTTAGCATGAGCTGCTTATATCAACATAGGGAGCGGGTCCTCATCTACAGAGATCGGCACGTTAATTTTTTGTTTATTTAACCCATATTTAACCAGGTATGTCTCTTTTCAGGGAAGACCTGGCCAAGACAGCAGCATACAAAAAAAGTTACAGCCAAACAACTCAGTTCATGTAGTTGTAACTCTTTTTGAAGGTTATTCCAAGTGAGAGGAGCAGAGCACATAACAGCTTTCTTTCCCAGCTCAGTCCGTGCACGAGGAACAGACAACAAAACTAAGTCTTGAGATCTCAGACAGCAGCTACAGTCAGATCTCTGTTCAGTCAAAGTACAAATGTACGAAGGAAGTTTACCAAGTATGGCTTCATAAATGAACAAATACCAAGACTGAGCCTACTATAGGTCAAAGATGGCCAACAAGCCCTGGAATAAAGTGCACAGTGCTGAGTGAGAGGTTTACAATTTGTAACAAATCTCAGTGCACTATGATATGAAATATCTAATGTGCAAACAATGTGCAGATGCTTTCATGTTCAACACATCACCATAATCCAGAACCAGTGAAAACATAGCAGCAACCAGTCTTTTTCTGGCCTCAAACAAGAAGCATGACTTGTTTCTGAAGTAAAACCCAAACTTCAGCCTCAGCTTTTTAAAAAGATTACCAAACTGAGGTTGATAACTGCCATGTTTCTACAGTAGCCCAGAATAGACTAACCAAACACGGACTCTAGATATGGCTATTCACTCAGCGAGCAGCATTTTATTCAGTGCTTTTACCGGTTTAGTCACCTCGTTTGTTTGTTTTGGAGAGGAAGAGACCTCTGTAGAGAATTTGGCTCCCGGTAAAAAACTCGTACCTTACCAAAACAGTATGCTCATTATGCAGTACACTGATGTATGTATTGTCTAGTTTATTTATTTTGAGATTTATTTAATAGTCACATTTATTTCATAGGCATATTTATTTATTTATTTAATACTGACTTAGATGGCATTCAATATTCCAGAAGTGCTGCAGTGTGTCTGTAACATGGTCTGCTAGGTTCTGCTTTTTTGCTTTGTTTTCTGTAGTATTTAATCTAGTGCAGTCAGGACCACTTTAGTCAAAGAAAACTTAATTTCAATTTGCAGTATTATACTTGGCGATATGGCTCTGTTCTGGAGCCTCTCTGCCTTTCCAAGGCCTACGCAGAAACCTGAGGCGGAGAGCGCACTTCCCTGCCCTTCCATGCGCCTACATGGAAAGCCTAAGGCAGAGAGAGCAGTACAAAGACCCCGGGAACAGAGCAGCATCAATGACAAACAAATGCCATTGATAAGTCAGACACAGCTTGAAAAGGAGGAGCTGCGGTGGAGGTGGGTTGCAAAGCAGCTTGCAGAGGAAGCAGCAACAGTAGGCAGGCCAGAGCAGTTTAAATAGGGCGCCCTGAATGAGATTCAACAATTGGTTGCATAGAAAGGAATCATGTGATCTACCAGCTGACTCCCTTCCATCAGTTGATTGGGCTGTTTGAGATCAGCTGATGTAGCTGGGATGTAAGCTGAACTTGACATCGTGCCCTTCCTGAACTAATGCTGTGCTCATTAAGAAAAATCCTCTGAGGCATGTTGTGATTTGTGATATTTGGCTTTATAAATGAAATTAAATTGACTTCTGCATGCTCCTGTGTTTCTGTGTTTCAGTCCAGCATCGTGGTGGAGGTTCCTCCCTACGATAAGAAGACGACAGATCCAGTCCAAGTCCAGTTCTACGTCTCAAACGGGAAGAGAAAAAGAAGTCTAACACAGACCTTCACCTACCTGCCTGGAGTCAGACGTCACCTCCCTGCGGCTATAGTCAAACAGGAGCCCTGGGAGGCAGGACACATCTCCCACAATCCACCTGGCTTCCATCAGCTGCCCTCCCGTGACCGAGTGCTCGGCCCCGACATGGTTTACTACGATTCCTGCGACATCCCAGTGCATTGTGGTCCTCCTTCCCAGAGCGCGCCTCATCTTCATCACCCCCCTCCCTCTTCTGTCCCCCTTCAGACCTCCTTAATGTTTCCTCACTCCTCCTCCTTCCCTCCTCCGGCCTCCTCCTCCTCCTCCTCAGTCCCCCCTCAGACCTTGATTCCTCTTCAGACCTTCACCCTCCCTCCTCAGATCTCCTCCCTCCCTCCCCACTCTTCCTCAATCCCTCCTCAAATCTCCGCGCTGCCTCCCCAGGCCTCCTCGCTGCCCCTTCAGACCTACTCCATCCCCCCTCCCACCTCCTCCAGTGGACCTCAGAGGGAACACTCCCCATCTCTGACCACCAGAAGAGCCTTTGTGACCCCTGCTGACCCCCAGAAGGACTCTCTGCTCTCAAGGCCAGGAGAGACGCCGAGCATCAAGCAGGAGCCAGAGGACCAGCAGAATCTGGGATCCTTGGGCCTCCAGGAGATCACGTTGGATGACGGTATGAAGTATTCATTAACTAACAATCACTATATGCTTGAGAAGTGGCTCTGAAAAGTTTGTAGCCTGCTAGCAACCACCACCGATGATAACAGAAAGATGACACGCAGCCAGACGCTGATATCTGTAGCAAGCTTACGTAATATAAAGCTAATTTAAAACTGGTATTAATGGCAGAGTCTCTCGTTGTCTAAGTTAATCAAACAAACACACTGTAGGACAGTGAACAGGAAGCTACTGTGTGTGATAATTTTCCAATCAGATTTAAATGCACCATCTGCAAATGTAATACCCACAGCACATTTACGGTAAATTAAAAACAATGTATGACCATAATTTGCTTGATTTTATTTCAAGACCTTTTAAGTGACATTTAGAGAGCAGGACTTTTACCTCGACATCTAAAAAAATAAAAGTTTTCCACTAAATTTTACTTAGATTTGATGCTTAGTTGTAAACCTAACACACCCTGAACGCCATGTGAGATGGTTTTGTTCATCCATCTGTGACAAACTTTTACTAACACACATATAAAGAGAAATCAGACTTGTGACCTCTGTTCCTGAGCTTCAGATTCAGATCTCATATAATTCAAATGTTCCCTGTGTGTTCGCTGTTACTTTCTGCTGTGCAGCTGTGTGAGGTGTGTGTATGTGTCCGTCTGTCCACACTGGCTCTGTGATGTTGGTTATTTATATGTTGGGGCCCCTGTGTGTGTGTGAATACTGTGTTTCTCTCTGATCTGGGTTAATAATAGCTGTGTCTGCCTGTTGCTGCTCTGAATGATGCAGATGGGGGTTAAATTTGTTGCTGCGCCGCAGTTGGCGGATAGCAGCTGTCGTCAGCCACCCCCCCCCCCACCCCCCCACCACCACCACCACCCACCACCCACCCACCCTTCCCGCCTTTCAGCTTGACTTTGACCCCGGCAGCCTGATCTGATGCTGCTGGACAAATGGCATCACACACTGAGGCTGCTCAGATTGAAACACCTGTAAAACCACAGTAATGGTTATCACTGCTTGTGCTCGATAGTATGTCCGGATGCTTGATGCTGGAGGGGAGGGGAGCGGAGGCAGGACAGTGGCAGCTTCTGTAGAGGTTTATGTGGTGAGGGAGTTTGAATTGAATCTGAATGTATTTTCAGTCTGGATCCGTGCATGCAGATGAAGTTTTATGTAACGTGCAGCATGTTGTTGTGTTGGTTTTGCTTCATGAGCGTCAGGTTTCACAGCAGTGCTATGTATAGACTGAACGGAGCAGAGATGGAGCCATTTGCTGCCGTACAAACACACTCAGCAGAGCAGCTTTATTGCTGCTACTAGTAATAATACACTCACTCATTTCTCACCTGCACTGAGAGCCCGGCCTGCACAGCATGGCTCACAAACCAAAGTGCTGCTTTATGGTGTTGAATCTGTTTGTAGTAATTAGTGGATGAGTTAGTAATTACAAGAACGTGTTGCTAAAGTTAGTTTATCTCTTTTACACACAAACCTCTCGAGGTAAATTTAAAGCGTCATCACAGCTCGTCTGTAGTGAAGGACTACAGTAAATGAATGTTTAAAGCTACAGCTGCTCCCTCCTGTGGCTGAGCTGCAGAACAAACCCCAGTTTTCTTTCCATGCATCAGTTCACAGCATGTTGTTTAATATAATTTCTGATGGTGATCTGAGCAAAAAACATCTTTCATATTATTTTCTGTGGAATATGTGTGTTTACGACACGTGAGGATGAAACATGAACATCTAAATGATTTGTGGAGTAAAACACTCAAGTGAACAGTTGCTTATCAGTTACTTTGTTTTTTCCTAATTAAACATTCATTTTGTAAAATGTCAAGTGCTTCGCAAAGTTCCAGAATCCAAAATGATGACTTTTAAAGTGTTTGTTTAGTTTGACCAACATTAGTAAAACAATTTTTCCAGTATTTTCCCAACCATAAATTCTCATTTAAATGGTTTTTTAAACGCCTCCACACTGGTGAGAGTCGTGTCCGTCCGTCTGTCCCATTCCCATGAACGCAATATCTCAAGAACACCTGGAGGGAATTTGGCACAAACGTCCACATGAACTCAAGAATTAATTGATTAGATTTTGGTGGTCGAAGGTCAAAGGTCACTGTGACCTCACAAAACATGAAGGAACATCTGGATGTTTTTGGCCATAACTTCATTTAATTAATTTTAATTTAATTTATTTTTTTAACTTACTGAAACTTAAAGAATTCCTACACTAATTATGACAAAATTTCACACAGATGTGTAATAGGATGAAATGATGACATCAAAGGTCAACTTCACTGTGACATCATAATGTTTTTTCTTGCCATGATTCAGTGTTACATCTAGGAAGAGGAGACATTTGGTCAGATACTGAATTGGTGATAATAATCTTTGGTGTCCATCTTGAAACTGTGCTGATTGTATAGATCTTCTGTGTTTTCGGGTTTAAGATGTGTGTGAAGCATCAATGTTTTCACAGACATGGATGTAAACTGTAACTGCAACATGAAAGGTTTGTGGAGGCATACAACTGCAAGGCAAGATATGCCACGGTGGTGCAGTGGTTAGCATCATTGTCTCACAACAAGAGGGGGGAGCCCCTCTGTGCAGTTTGCACCAGGTGCTCCAGCTTCCTCCCACAGTCCAAACACATGCAGGGTAACTGGTGACTCTAAATTGTCCGTAGGTGTGAATGTGAGTGTGAGTGGTTGTCTGTCTCTATGTGTCAGCCCTGTGATAGTCTGGTGACCTGTCCATATCTGGTCTGTTTGTTTTGGAGAGCTGAAGACCTCTGTGGAAAACTCAGCTCCTGATAATAACATCCTGAAAAACAAACACTGAGGGAATACTAACCAGAAGAAGTTTTAGCTCCCTAACCCTGACACACTGTTCCTTTTAAAAAAATGTTAACAGATGTTGTACAAACTTGAAAAAAATCTTTACTGCTAAAGGTTATAAATAATTGTGTCTCTGTCTTTTCTGTTTTTGTAGTGAATGAGATCATCGACAGAGACATCGGCAGTCTGAGCAGTAGTGCCCAGCCCAACCAGTTTGACCAGTACCACCAGTATGACTGGGAGCACAAGTCCAGTGATGCTGCCTTACCGTTCTGCGGAGGCCCTCAGTAGTTGCACTGCTCCCTCAGGAGGTGACTGCAGCGCTTCTTTCTTTTGGGACAAAAACAAACCGACGGTCACGTTAGCACAAAGTGCACCAAGCTGACCTTCAAGTGCCTGAAAACCACTCAGCAGCCTCTGACGAGTCGGCGTGCTCGTCTCATCAGGGTACCACATCAGATTACTGTTTCCTCGTCTGTCTCAGGAATTTTAGTGCGGAGCCGGCTCGTACCTCGCTGACACACCAAAGATGTTTTTAGCTTCCCACAACCGAACTGTAGAATACGACAACAAAAGGGCTGTAATTCAACTTTTACATAATCAGAACAATCAGTGATGTCATCGCAGAAGCTGAAGAAAATCCTGTCATTATTTATTGGCTCATTAATTACGAAATCTATTTTTGATACTCTGGATCTGATCCAGTAAAAATAAGTCCTTCAGCTGATCATTTACATTTTTATAGCTTGGTTTTACTCTCTGTACGGTTTACATTTCCTTCTCTGAATAACGTTAATGCTGTTCAACCTGAACTGTTTTGGTGTGAAGCTTAAGACACTGAATTATAGAGATGTATCATAAGGTTGAAGTAAAAAGAAAAGAAAATACTGGCTGCTCTGTGTTTTGATAAATGTGATGAGTGTGGGTTTTAAAACACTTTATTCTGGGTCTTGATGCAGGATTTTAGAACCACAGTCTCCTCGTGTTCAGTACAGAAGCCGAGGACGGCGCGCTTACAATTATGTTTTTATATCTTCTTTTATCTCAAGATCACAGGGTAATTATTTTGTTAGAGAAAACAAAGTCGTGTCCTCTTATTAGGATACTTTAAATGTTTATCAGAGATCAGAAGTGTCCTGCCAGCATGCATAGATGCCGTCTAGACGACTGACAATGTCAGATCAAAGAGCACACATTATTATAATCAGTTATGAATCCTCCCTGAGCAAACTGGTGCAGTTTCTTTCAAAAACATGGGAGAAAAAGGGGAATGAGCAGCTTGGTAAGAAATATCCCACAAATTGAAAAAAAAATAATAGATTTAGAAAATTATTTTTAAAAAGCCAGGGAAAAAAAGCTGGGTAAAAAAAAAATATTTTTATAGTTATCATTATTATATTTTTTTTAATTATGTTACAGAATTATTATAATTTAAGCTCTTTTCTGGGTCATATCCTTGTTTTTTAATTTTTGTTTTTTTCCTTAAACAAATTTTCTTGTTTTTGTTTATCTTTTCACTAATTTTTTTTTTTTTATGATTTTTTGGGGGGGGGGCAGGATGGACAGGACAGCCAAGTGTGAAAGGGGGGAGATAGAGGGGGGATGACATGCAGCAAAGGGCCACAGGCTGGACTCGAATCCGGGCCGCCGACACCCCATCTTTTCACTAATTTCTTGCTCATTTTTGGGGTCACTTCTTCTTGTATTGCTTATTGCTCTCTTCCCATGTTTTTGAAAGAAACCACAACAGTTTGGGGTCGGTTTCAAAGGGTTAATCACGATCACAATTTTTGCTTTCCACAGTTAAATGAACATTAACGACTGAGATACTGACGCTTCCTGAATTGCCAGCCTCCACTTTTGAAGAGCTGTGGATGTATTTAGGATTTATGAGAACAAATCATATGTGCATGATACTTGTGTGTGTGCTGCACAGCAACACAACTAACTTGTTCATCCACCTGAATCTGCAGTATGACGAATACATGAAGGCCAAGAGGAATAACGACACTAACGTTACCTCACTGAATCCCTGTCTTTGCCCAGCGTCACCTCAGACATCAGTGACAGCGACTTAATAATCAATATGATCATTATAAAGGTGGTGTTTGATTGTGGCCACAATCCTGCAGCGCTGCAGTGATTTTTAAGGCTGAAATCAAGTTTGATCCAATGACAAATGACACTTATTTTCAAGTCCTCCATATTTATTTTGTCATCTTCAGAGAATACAAGTCATTTTCTCATGAAAAGTGATCAGGATCTCGAGAAATAGACATAATTTAACCAGATATCTTCTGTAAACCAGCTTTGTTATCACAACAGAACAGCAGTGATGACCGCACATTTCCAACCTATCATGCAGCAGCACATTTAAGGCACTAGTGACTCTTGGTTCTCAGAGCAATAACATTTCATTACAGCGAGGTCAGAGGTCACAGCAGGTGATATCAGCTAGCTGCAGTAACAATATTAAAGGGTAAATCCACACTAAATCAGACAGGGGAAATGCAGCTGCTGCACAGCTCTACACAAGTTTTAAAGCCATGCTATAAACATTCAGTATGTGTTCGCCTTATAACTGCACCTCAGCTCTGTGTGGTGGCAAGAAGATGCCAATGTTCTATTTTACGTTAACTGTTGGGGCCTCTGACACACCATCAGCAGCTCTTTTTGATTTAAGTGTTTTCTTGCAGCAGGAAACACAGCAGCATCTGGCTGCAGACCACACAATCCAGTTGAAATCCTGTTTAAACTCATCTGTTCATTTTTTTAATACTTGTCTGATTTGATGAATGAATCACAGCAACTCATCTTGAACCTGTTCCGTCATTTAAAAAGCAGCTGGTCTGGGTCTGCCTGAACCAAGCAGAACTCCTCCACAGCTGATCCTGATCCTGCCGTCCAGCAGCTGTTTGTGCACGTATAAACCAGCACCGTCCCAAACTCCAGCTCTGCCTCAGCGCTGCCGCCCTCCCTCCGCAGCAGACTGACCAGAGCCGGCATCAGCTGCAGCTCAAACGTCCTGGATCCCCCACAGGAGCCGCACGCCGACACCACCTGTGCCATGTTGGCCGGCGGCTCAGTGATGAAGAGTGGTTTCCCGCTGCGGCAGTACCGCAGGATCTGCTGAGGACAGAGCGAGATCTTCTTCATGAACCTGGAGAAGACAGCATCTCCGTGTCTGGCACGTGTCTTCTCGTACTTCTCCTCCCCGCCGCCGCCCTCACTGTCCTCCAGCTCTCCTACAGCCACGCCCTCTCTCCTCTCATACTCCCTCAGCAGCTGCTGAGCGTGCCGCAGGTCGTCTTCCTCTCCACCAAGATCTGATTCCTCCTCCACACTGATGAAGAATGAGCGGAGGACAGGAACATCCTCCTGTGTCTCCCCAAGATTTAGATCCTGAAGCCGACTGCTGACGTCAATCTCACCGGCTGCTGCGCAAAAAGATAAAGTAAAGTTTAAATTAAGAAAAGTTTCTCTGAAAGCTCTTAAAAATGAGTTTCTCTTCGGTTTTAGAAAAAAGCACGTATTAAACTCAGCTGGGTCCACGGGAGTGAAAAATCTTCAGCTGCACTTTCAGATATTTTAGAAACAGTGACATCTTGTGTTAATTAACAGTGCTTTCCATTAGGGCTGCACAGAATGCAAAAAATCATATCGCTATTATTTCTGACATATGATTTCAATTTGAGTAGCAATTTTATTAGGATACTTTTTGCATTTTATTTTCACTGAAAAAACAAAAATGATGATGCTGTAATATTTGCTGGGGGCTGTACCTGGAGATAGAGTTGTCTCAGTGTTTGTGTGAGCAGATCGACAATCAGTGTGTAAATGTGTAATCTGTAAATCTATAAATAGCAAAAAAATAAAAAAAATAAAAAAATCTGTAAACTCAAATAAAGTTTGCAAATATACAACAGATATGCAAATACACAAATAAATTCCACATACCTGTTAATACATTTAATTAGTTTACAAATAAATGAAAAACACTTCCTAACATTTAAAACATTTGATCAGATATTTGTGAATTCGTTTTTTATTTGTGAATCTCAATTTTATGCCTGCAGATTTGCATTTTTCGCAGTTTTTACAATTTCATTTCTGAAATTTGTTTGTGTATTTGTAGGTTTGATTTAAACAGACTGAACGCTGATTTACACAGATTGTATTTCTCCTCACAAAAAATAATACTGAGACAAATCTATCTCTGCAGCAGGTTAAAGAAAGTAATCGTTAGTTGCGGCCCTTAAATGTGGTGAAGTAAAAAGTACCGTATTTCCCTCTGAATAGTGGAGTAGAATAAAGTGGCAGAGAATGGAAATACTCAAGAGAGTACAAGTACATCATAATTGTACTTAAGTGCAATACTTGCACATATGTGTTTACTAAAAATAATTATAATAACATTTATTGTGTTTCCCAGATGTAGGAAAACAATAACAATTGTTTGTAGCTGCTTGCTGACATTGTAATTTAATTTAGGTATATTTATATTGTTCAGCCCTACCGTGTGCTTCAGGAGCTGCTGCCTCCTCTTGAACCTGGCTGATCTTCTTCACACCTCCTCCCCATCCATCCTCCTCCTCCTCCATCCCCCAGTCATCAGCGGCGTCACACCAGTCAGTGGCCGACAGAGGAGCCTCCTGAGCCGGGACAGGCCGGCTGGCTGTCGCCGCCTCCTCCAGACACTGAGAGCGGAGCACCTTCCAACTGTCTGACCTGCCGCTGCACTCGGCACCTGGGCACGCGAACAGGTGGAGGTTTCTGTGGTAGGGTGAAGCCTCCAGGGGGCAGTACACCTGAACCACGTGTAATAACGGGGCTCCGCAGCGACTGCAGCGGGGAGACTGCCGGGAGATGACCGGGGACCAGTCCGGGTGACCCCCGACTTTGTTGGTCAGATAAGAGGACCGGTGTCTCTTAGAGTCGAGCTCCCCATCACACAGACCGATCAGAGTTACCTCCTGAGTGGCTGAAGACATCTCTCACATGTTGAAAACACCGACCGGAAGTGAATGTTGGGGTCTGGGGTCCGTCATCAAAACATTGCCGCCGGCCAGGTGGCAGTTTGAGTCATTAAATACATCGGTGTGAATAAAATTGAAGCAAGCAGTAAAATAGCAACTTCACATTTAATTATACACGCAATAAGACGGTAAAATGTGAATTTTATTCGTTAAATTCGTGACATCTAGACTGAGAAGAGTTCCTACCGGAACTTGAAATTCCGGTTAGTTAAAGTAACGGACAAAACAGCGATGTGATATCCGTTTATTAAGATTGTATTCACGAAATATAACAATTAAAATGTAATGCATCGATATTCATTACACTATTCAGCATTATATAAGAATAAACCTGCGTATAAATGCTCAAATATAATTAAAACATCTATTTTAAAAGCTTTCATTTTGTTTTCAGATTTATTTCGAAAAACAACGGAAACGGAAGTGTTCTGTTTTGTTGCTTCCGGTATTTAAATTTGAGTTGGTTGAGCTGGTCCGGTTTGACTGAGAGGCGCAATGCTAGCAGGACTAGCACTGTTTAACGTTTTTTAAAGCCACTCCAAAAGCCAAAAAGCATATGAAATGTTAAGATAGTCCCAACCGCGTTAAAAAACGAATAAAACTGCTCGTTAAATTCAAAATATATCTTGCTTACTAACTAACTAAAATGAGCTAACGTCTATGGATGCTAGGCTAGCTGGCTAACAAGCTAGCTAACGTTACTTCTCAAAGTAACGTTAGCGTTGAATGTCCACAGCTGAGTGAATGGAAACGAGGTCACAGCAGAATGTGAGAGCTGTGAATGAAGCGTGTTTGTCGTGTTATGTAACAGTATAAATCTCCGTGACCAGTGTTAGCTCGGCCACCATCATGCCTTTCTTGTTCCTGGAGCGGTTCCCCTGGCCCAGTTTACAGACGTACACGGCGCTGAGTGCTGCCCTGCTCGGGACCGTCCTGACCGTCTGCTCCCTCGAGTCCAGCCCGGAGAAGACCCACAGCCAGCCGGTCCACAGCTCCAGGGTCAGCCGCTACATCAGGGATGGTGTGCAGTACCTGAGTGCAGGGTATGGAGATGTGGCTGCAGATGTTCTGGTGCACCTGCTGACTGACAGTGTCTCTGTTTGGGTGAGTGCATTCACTAACAAGCAGAGTTTAGTCAATTACATTCACTCAAGTAGGTTTTTTACTTGATTATTCAGATTTTATGCAACTTAATACTCACTAATAAGATATTTAAATGGGACATCCTCCGTGGTCATCACTGAGCTAATGAGTTGTAATTCTTATTTTATTTGAACAACTTGTCATTTATTTTCCAGAACAGGCTACTCTGTGATGCCAAGGAGATGAGGAGCAAAACTTTTCTCATGTATAGACAAAAAATGTCTGTTGATATATTGTGTAAACTAAAATTACAAATTATTGTGTCATAAAGATCAGCCACAATGTGGAACCGTATGTGAAGTTAAATTTAAATGAATGACAAAGATCTCTATGTTCCCAGTTACACTCAGGAGCATTACCTTTAGCCTTAGTGACCAGTAGGTTTATTGCTGTTTCAGAGCAGGACAGACTACGAAGACATAAGGGATGTACTTTTCAGTAAAATGACCTCTTTAAATGTTGATTTCTTTGGGTTGGATGAGCATGAAATACTTGAATTATGTTATAGGAGGGGAACTTTTTTGTTATTTGTTTGCTGAGCCAGGAATAGAAGGCAAAGTATGTATCTGACCATAAAAATGCATCATCATAAAGCTGAAAACAGGACTGCAGCTCATTTTTTTTCCCTGATGGTATGCCCTCTTGCTTCTAATTATTTTAACCTGTTTCAGGTTTGATCATGTCATCGCTCTGAGCTCTCTTCAAGAGGTGACATATTATTCTGTCTTTATGTGTGCAGGTGATGGTCAACACAGCCTGCTGTGTCCTGCTGCTGATCGCTAAACTCATCCAGTGTGTCGTGTTCGGGCCGCTCCGCGTCAGTGAAAAACAGGTCAGTGCTTCTGTTTGTGCTGTTTGCTGTTAACTGCACATTAATATTACATTCAGCTCCAGATTTTTGTTGGATGACCTGGTCTGTGATTTGGCTTTGAAAGGGAGAAGCTGCTCAGTTTTGAGCTTGTAAATTAACCCAGATAGAAACTCTAAAGTCTGGTGAAATAGTAATCTGTAAGCAAAGAAATTAAAATGGAAATAAAAAGAAAATATCAACTAAATCTGTAAACAGTGCCTCCCAATTCATCTAAATTAAGTAAATATATGGTCAAATCCAAATAAAGGTTGCTGTAAAAAAAAAAAAGAGAGAGAGAGAAGTATTCAGAATGGGTCTTTTTTTAAAATCACAAACCTGTGTTTTGTTTTCTCCTGCAGCACTTGAAGGACAAGTTCTGGAACTTCGTCTTCTACAAGTTCATCTTTGTATTCGGCGTCCTGAACGTCCAGACGGTGGAGGAGGTGGTGATGTGGTGGCTCTGGTTTGCCATCCTGGTCTTCCTCCATCTCCTGGTTCAGCTCTGCAAGGACCGCTTTGAATATGTAATGCTCACTAAATCATACATGTCTCTTTCTCATGATCACAGTGTTTGTAATTTTAAATGATTGTCATGTAAAACATATTGAAAAAAAAAATCAAAATGTGCAGTTTTGTCAAGATTGTGATGTTCACACAGGAAGAAATAGAAGTCTCCATCAGAAACATGTCACCTTATTGATTTATGTACTTTACAAAGAAGAAGAACTACTTTATTAATTCCCTTGGATAAATTTAGTTGTTTCAATTTGTTGTAGTTTTACAAGTTTTTATATACCATATATATTCTATTGGTGGAGATAGCAGCTGTTTTCAAACTCTGTTTGACCATAAAGGTTGTAGTTCAAAAATATTACAAGCAGCGAGCCCCTGTAGCATCTCCTAAAATCTTCAGTGGTCAGTGATTAACCTGTTAATTAGAGTTGATTATGAGTCACTGCAGAGAAAACAAGGTACAGATGATATAGTTGTTCTTGGAGCCTTATCAGTTTTGGAGATAAAACTGTAAAGTTTGTCCTCACGGTGGCGCCAGAGGAAAGGTCATGACAAAATGAATTTTCGAAAGGAGGATAAATTTAAAGCTCAACAGTCAGTAAATCAAAAGTGCTCCTTCTGTTGGTGTGCAAATGGAAAATCTGTACCATGAATTAGTGAACCAAACTACAGTTATGATTTAAGCAGTGTTTAAGAGTGTTTGGTGGGTTTGCTGTAAGCATAGAAACAGATTTTTTTAAAGTCTTGTCACTGAGCCCAGTTGGTGTTGAGAGAACTAAATCAGTCGCTGTCCTGAAGAGTAAAGACAGCAGAATAGCATATAGGAGAGAAACAGAAATGCTAACACATCATATACAACTCAAACATAAGGTAAATTATGAATAAAAATTTAAAATCATAAAAATATTTAGGACTTAGCTCCTGAATTAATCTGCGCTCATGTCACCTTTTCCTCACAGAGTTTAGTCGTGTTTACACTGCTGAACTTTGTGCTTTTAACTTATGATTAATGTATATAAAATGTAGTTTGATTAACAAATTCATTAATGAAGTAGAACTGAACTAAAAAAAGAAAATATATTTTTCCAAATTAATGTAAACTGATTGTTAATATAGTCAGCAATAAATTGTGACAGTTACTTCGCAGTTAAGTTGTATAACACCAAAACAAACTGACTAACATGGTCGTCCATTAGTTAATCTTTCTGTGTGTGTGTGTGTGTGTGTGTGTGTGTGTGTGTGTGTGTGTGTGTGTGTGTCCAGCTGTCCTTCTCTCCGACCACTCACCTGTCCAGCCATGCGCGGGTGCTGCTGCTGTTGGTGGTGTTGCTGTTGTGCTGCGGTGGTCTGGCGACTCTCTGCAGCCGCCTGGCTCGTAGTCAAGGACACCACAACGCCGCGTTCATGGCTGCTGAGGTGAGAAACTCCCTGACACACCTTCGTCACAGGATATCTGCAGGTTTCCCCAAAACAAGCTGAGAATGTTTCACAGCAAATGAACCTGAATTTAAGACATTTGATGGAGGATGTTTCTTAAACCAGTCTGCAGATTTCTTAAATGAATTCAGGACATTCTGTATCCAGTTTTCTTTAACTTTTAATTTCCTGTCGGGCTTTTTTTCTTATGGTTTTCATTTTTGGATATTGGTGATAACTAGCATTAGGAGCAATATTTTTATTTTTTTAAATATATTTTTATTGTTATTTTAATTTTTAAAATTTCTGCTATTTTATTTTTTATTTCTCATTGTGTGTGTTTGTATATTGTCATTTATGTCTTTTTAAAATGTACTAAAGAAAGTGTAAAAATAAATGAATAAATTGATAAACTTTTATCAGATGCGTTCAATGAGAAGGCTTTATTTATTTATTTATTTATTTATTTTTTAACTCTTACATCTATAACATTCCAGGCTGCATTAGAGGATCTTAATTTAATTTCATTTAATCTGGACATTTGATTTTCATATATCTCATAGATTTACTTTTCATTTGTATACATAGTCTGATAGTTTTCAGTTGTTGCATTAATTTTGATGAATAAAGTTTAAGCTGACCTTTTGTCTGTGTTCCAGTGTATGTTGGTGACTGTCAGGACGACACACGTCATGTTTCGGTAAGTGAAATAAAGATTTTCACACTTCCTGTTTGCTCATCAGACTGTTTGTTTCATCTGATGTGCCTGATGTTGTTTTCCATACCTGCAGGTACTCCCTCCACCCGTGGGACGTGAACCAGGACAGCAGCAGGGAGAATAAGTCCTCCTACGTTTACTACACAGACCTGCTGATGGAGCTGCTGCTGCTGGGCCTCGACCTGCTGCATCACATCCACATGCTGGTCGGTGCGAGGGAACTTTATTTAAATCTTATTTTCTCATTATTCAGCTGGATGAGTTTTATCGTCAGGTCGGGTTCAGTTTTCTGTTCTGATCTTCTTTAGTGTGTTGTTACTTTAGGGGTGTATCTCATCTTTTATGTCAGACAGGCGAAGTTAACGGTTTTAATTTTTGGTCAGTCACACTCCCATGTTTTTAAAGGTTAACATTACACATTAGTCTGGTAGACAATCCCCCAATTACCAATAATGTCATCATTGATTATTCAGTTTTCTTTTTTTTTTTTTTAGTCTATTTCAGTTGTTTCTGACATAGATCTGAAGCACTGATGTACTGTTGTAGTTTATTATTTTAAGTAATATGAACTACTGAGGACAAAGTCCCTAAATACATGAAGAGAAGTGGTTCAGTCACAAGTTGTGTGTTTATCTGACAGTATTGTAAAATGTGTGAGCAGCAAAGTCACAGTGACTGCAGCAGAGAGCAGATAATTCTTTTTGTTTTTGCTTTTTTTTTTTTAAAACACTTCATTTGTAATTTTCCGAATATCCTATAAAACAATCATATTCTCTGTTTTACAAATAGCCATAGCAAAAACAATCCCAATAAGAGACAAAAACAAAGACAGACCAAACCGAAAATCAACCTGACAAACTTATCAAAGACAACTGACAGACAAAAAAAAAAAAAAAAAAAAAACAACAAGTGCACCTAGTATTCCTTATTACAGGGTTCCACTTCCAAACCAGGTAAATTGTTCACATAAGTTATTAGAGGGTCCCAGGTTTTGTGGAATCTGTGGATGGAACCGTTGAGGGTACATCTGATCTTTTCCAGCTTTACATTCTGCATAACGTCCCTAATCCAGTGGTGGCGTGATGGAGGAGCAACAGCCTTCCATTTAAATAAAATCAAGCGTCTAGCTAACAAGGAGGAGAAGGCAATGACCCTCTGTAAATGAGCGGGGGGAACAGATCCCGTCGGTTCAGAAAACCAACCGAAAACAGCAACCAAGGGAGAAGGTGAAATGTTATAACCATATGCATTAGAGATGACTTCAAAAAAGGATGACCAGAAAGGGACAAGTTTCGGACAAGACCAGAACATATGATAGGAGGTAGCCAGGGTCTGTTTAGAGAGCAGATATTTCTAAAGGTGTCATTCTTATTCGCCAATAATGCTGCATATTTTTAAACATTTTTTCCACATTAGTAAAGCTGCTGCTGCCTCTCTTTTTTTTAAGTGCCAAATTATTTGGTAGTTTACAAAAATATAAGAAATGTAAAATGTATAAATGTACACATTTATTTTTTCTTATATTATATTTATATATACAAAATAACAGCAGCAATAAATAATATAAATAAGGTAAAATGTTTTTTTTAATTTAGTTAGATATAGACAGATAAATACTTATTTTTAATATATATTTTTTGATTATTTAATAAAATAAATTGACCCAGTTGATCACCTTCTTAATCAAGTCTCTATCCACACTATGACTCACTGCATAGAGACTGTGTCTCATGCAACAACACTTCAAACCAATGAGAAAAACTCCGAACTCAAACCGTTAAATGAGACTTAAACTACCTGTGAAATTAAAACATGAAGTCTTCTGGAAGGTCTCAGAGAGTTTCCAGCAGCAAGGCAGAGACTCAAACTAAGTCCTCAGATTTAAATGTACAAATATGGCAGAACTGAAAATAGTTCCAGACAGAAAACTGTTGAAATAAAAGTGAATTTATGTCGCCACAGAGCAGGTTTGGTTTTGGGTCTTATGGTAACAGTAACAGTGTCAGCAGTGTGCGGGTAACGATGCTTCACTGAGTTAATTAAGTTTTTTAATTAACCAACCAATTACAAAACTGAATTTAAGGGTCCGGTGTAGGAAATAGGGCATCTATTGGCAGAAATGGTATGCAATATTCATGACTGTGTTTTTATTAGTGAATACTCACCTGAAAATAAGAATCGTTATTAGAATGAACTGTTTATATCTACATATGGAGCAGGTCATGGTCTGGGGTGTGCAACATGTTGGAAAAGATTAGGTTGGTTGCAAATCTGCAAACCTCACAGCTGAAAATCACTGAACCCTGCACACTGGACCTTGAACATTTTGTTAACCAGAGTAATCTCTATCTGTCTCTGTCATGTGAATTCCTTCTCTGTGTCTCTCTCAGCTCTTCAGTAACATCTGGCTGTCCATGGCGAGTCTGGTGATCTTCATGCAGCTTCGTTTCCTCGTTCAGGAGGTTCAGAAGAGAATCCGCCGCCACCAGAACTACCTGCGAGTCCTCCGCAACATGGAGACCCAGTCAGTACTGCAGCGGTGTCACAGCATCAGACTATCAATGTGTCAGAGAATCACAGTCAGATTATTAGTGCTGGAGATGCATCGATCCAGCTGCTCACTCTGTACAGATTCTCATACTTCAGTTCAATACCAGTGCTCTCTTTTTCCCAAAATTTAAAATCCGTGAATGTGCTGTTGGAAAGAGGCCAGAGAATGCTACAGACATTGACAAAAAAAGAACCTGTATGTATGTGATTTTAAATCTGTCTATCATGTAAAAGAAGCACACTGTATGTTTCATTGTTTTCCAGGTTTCCTGTGGCGTCTGCAGATGAACTGGCAGCCAATAACGATGACTGTGCGATCTGCTGGGATGTGATGAGTTCAGCTCGGAAGCTTCCCTGCGGTCACCTCTTCCACAGGTCAGTACGAGCAGCAGTGGAGGAAGTACTCCAATCTTTTACTTTAGTTAATTTAGCAATAACACCATGTAGGTGTGTCTAGGTTGCACCTTAAGGTGTGTGTAAAATCACAAGTAGAAGTTCTGCATTCAAAACTTAACTAAAAGTGTTTGCTTGAAAATATATACTTAAGTATATCATTAATATATAAATACTGCAGGGTAGCTTGTGATTTCCCCGTGGGATTAATGTTTTCAAAAATATTGGTTTATCGATTCATATCAATTCTGAATAAGGGATGCGTACATCTAAATGTGCTACAGGGAAACATTATGATGACAAGTTTAAATAATGGAAAAAAATAAATGTACCTATGAGACATTATAGTAATGAGATACAGTAAATAACTGTTGAACATAATGATGAGATATAATGAAGGAAAATAATATTTATTTTCGTTCATGAATCACTGAGACGTGACATTTACTGACAGGTGAACGTTTTAATAAACACTGTTTAACGCTGAGTGTTCGTGTGTCCTCAGCTCGTGTCTGCGCTCCTGGCTCGAACAGGACACATCATGTCCGACATGCCGGATGTCTCTGAACATCGGTGAAGGAGCAGGAGGAGGACGTGTGGAGAGGGAAACCAGGGAGGCTGCCGCTGCTGACAACGTGGCTGCTGTTCCTGGAGCCGACGCTCGGCCGCACCTCAACCAGCTCAACCACTTCTTCCACTTCGATGGTGAGACAGTGAACGACACATCTAGTGACTTTTATCAGTTCCTCTTCTCGTCCATTGTCTTTTATATGGTCTGTAGTCAGACTAACAGCTCTGTGATGTTCTTAGAAAACAAAATTGTTAGATTGGTGAAAACAAATGCTCAACTTCCAGTATGACAGCATGTTAAAGGGATAGTTCAGTCCTCCACTAATTGAATCTATGACAGTAAAGGGAAATATTTGTACGGTAAATATGAAACTGAAGCCAGCAGATGATTAGCTTGGCATAAAGACTGATGGCAGTGGGAAACAGCTAGGGCAGCATGGCTCTGTCCCAAGTTAAAAAATAAACATACAACACTTGCAAAGCTCAGTAATGTATCCATATCTCATGTGTTTATTTTTCTGCGCACAAACAGAAATGCAAAAAATAACGTGGTTCTTACAGAGAGTTTCGTGTACACTGACATCTCTAACTTACAGATATGTGTGGCATTGATCTTCTCATCTAACGCTGAGCCAGAAAATGTTTTTGATGTCACTCAAAAGATAGTGAGTATCTGACTATCACTATCCTCATTCATATTTTAAGAGGCTACAAATTATATTTAGCCAGAAAATAAACCTTAAAAGCTGCAAATCAGAACAGAAGTACAGAGAGTTGTTGCATAGAGATGACACACCGTCTCATCTAGTTGCATTGGTGTGAAGTGGACATCCATATTTGAATCATTGTCGACTGTGATGACACATGAGTCTGGACAGACATGGATGGAAACTGTAAATGCAGCTTGGAGGAGGAACACAACCACGAGGCAGTAAGTTTAGTTTTTCTCTGACCTTTGACCTTGCTGTGTTCCCAGGTTCTCGCATTGCCAGCTGGTTGCCCAGTTTCTCAGTGGAAGTTATGGCCACCACCAACTTTCTGGGCATTGCCCCGGCCAACCCGTCGCAGATCAACACCATGGTGAGTTCACAGAGGACATGCTGGCATCTTGAGAATCTAATCTCTCCTGCTGAGAGTGGAACAGGTTACTGAGGTCAGGTGTGTCTGTCTGTGTCTCAGGCTCAGCAGATCCAGGAGATGTTTCCTCAGGTTCCTCTCCAGCTGATCCTGCAGGACCTTGAGATCACTCGATCCCTCGAGGTCACCACCGACAACATCCTGGAGGGACGAGTCCAGACCGCCGCTGACCCGCCACTGGTCAGTCTCACAGTCAAAGTCTCATTGAGTTCTTTATTCATCATATACGTAACAGCTACACTGCTCATTAATATATATGAAAAAGAAAAAGATCATGCACATGAAAACAAAATTAAATTCTAAACATAAAATAGTGCCAGTGAAAATAAAGGATAACACATAAACTAATTAAAATATGAAATAAAGTAAATTTGATTGTAATTGCAAAAATATTAAACTGTATCGTACGATGGCCCTGAGAGCTCAGTGCAAATTAAGAAACCACAAATCTATACAGAAACGTGCTGCAAGTAACATGTATTTGTTTATTTCTAAACGCTTTGCAGGTTTCCTTACATCGATGTTTTCTTAATTTGCAGTGGTTTGAGCTCTCAGGGCCACCGTAGCATTTACCTTGAAAAATCTTAAATAGTACAGCAGGGTGTTTAATTTTTAATATCGTACGTAAACCAGCCGCGTTTCCGCAAACAAACATGTTTGAAACAGTTTCCTCTCTCGTCAGGTCTTTGAGCAGCAGGTCATACAGGTGACTCCTCCACCTGAGGACGAGGCTGCAGCCATCAGCGAGTCAGAGCAGGGCGGCGGTAATGAGACGGAGGAGGAAGATGAGGAGGAGAAGCAGATTTCTGTGGAGGAGAAGATGGATGATGATGATGACTTGGAGGTTCGGTTTTCTTCATCGGCGGAGCAGCGACAGAAGCTTCTGCTGCAGAGGAGGGAGGAGCTGCTGCAGCGAGCGCGCAGGTACCGAAGAGTCACCTTTACTGCTCCCTGAACATGAGAGGGGAGTGACTTCAACTTTCATAGTACTTCTGCACAGTATCTTGAATACAGATTTAAGTATTGGGACTTAAAAAACATTTCATCTTTTTTGATGAACATAATTTGCCTCGGACACAAAAAGAAATTCTAGCAAGGACTGATGATTTGTTAACGTAGTTTTAAACCTCTGAGGTGAATATGCTTCTGTCGCTCAGTCGGCTTTGAGGGTTAACATAGCGCTCCTCTCTGCACCAACAGCTCCTCTCGATTGCCATTTAGGAGTTTTCCAAGTTTTGTAACTTCGTCTCAGCTGCTAATTATCTCCAACACTGATGAATCTCTGAGCTGTGGCTTCATTAGTGAATCCACAGCGGTGACATTTTGTGTTTTAGCCCATTTACTACAAATCACCTGCAATTTGCATGCTGGGAGTTTTTTTTTTATATCAGGAGCAGTTGTTAGGTTTCTCTCCTTCCTAGCAGGCAGCTGTTGTCTTCAGTTCGTTGTTAAAATCCACTCACAGAGACTCTGCAGATAGATAATCCATCACAGTGAACATCCTGCTCAGTTCGATCTGACCATAGTTTTATGTTTGCAGGCAGTGTCATTAAATCTCACCTCAAAATCCATTTTTATAGATCTGCCTTCCTGCTTTTACCTTTTATTTCTTCTTATTTTATTCACTCTGTCGTCCCCTTTTTACTGTCTTACTTCTCTATTTGTCATAATATTATGTCAGTATATATTACATGTATATTAGTTTTATTTTCTTATGGACATTTTTATGGTTATCCATAAACCAACAATGTGTTTTATTTTCTTTACCCTCACCTGCCAAATTAAATTGTTATATTTTTATTACTATTACATGGTAAGAGTAAAATGGAGCGGATTGTTTTGCCTCGACACACAAAACTTTAATTCAGACGCCAAACATTGCCGTTAAAATCAAACCCAAATGACAGAGTGATGGTGGACGTAGGGCAAATTAAATCTGGATTTTTATGTTACTGAAAAGCAAACTGCCTGCCTGCTAAATCTTAAGTGATGGATTTTAAAGTTGTTCCATCTTTAAATATTTTTTAAAAACAATCTGTGCTTACAAGTAATTCAGCAGAAGATAGTAATCTCTGACAAAAAATAAAACTGAGATGATGGTCACTGTGTCTGGTAACGAATCAAGGAAGTTTCTAAATAAAGTTAATTTTCAGCTCAATATTTGAGCTTTGAAAATCATGAAACTTTATTCTATCAATCTATTATAGTTATTACATAGATTTATAGATTAATTAAATTGAAAAATATATCAGTAAGAACCAAAATGTGAAACCAGCTGCTGCCTGTGCATTAGGAAACTGTCAAATCTAAATTTCTGTTTAATGATTGGTCAGAACATACTGTAAAATCTGAAACAGCTTTATATTAGAAACTATTTTTAAATCATATTTTAGTAAGAAGCCTTTTCCTACATGCTCCTTTTTTAATTTGCTGTTGATACAAAATCCAGTGGTTCCCAACTGGTGGGTCGCGGTACAGAGCTTTTATTTTTATTTTGAATTGCTGTTTCCTGCTGTAGAGTGAGTGATTAACAAGTGACAGCCACTTAACAGAGACAGCAAACTAGCTCAACGACATGGTCAAACCCAAATGTGATGCTTAGTGTATCAAACTGAGTGGACCTTTAACCAATGACTGGACCCCGTGGCTGGACCAGTTGGAAACCACTGCATTAATCCATCAGTGCAACAGAGTCATGTTACACTCGCCACTCCTCTCAAATCAGTTTCTCTTCAGCAGTTAATCTAACTCCAGTCTGTTCAACGTTGCTGTTATTTTGATCAGTGTCAACACTTCCTGCACAGATGTTTCACATTAAAAGCCTTTCAGTGCCTCAAAGGCAACGACTGCATCCAAATGTTCGGACTTCACCACACTTGCGTCTCAGTACATACGACTGAAGTCCGCGAGGGCTCAGTCTGCAAGTCCAGAGGGTGGACATTTGGATTCAGCCAATAAAAGCTACCTTTCCTGGTCAGCTTTTAATTTAAAATGTCAGCCCTTACAGGATGTTGCGATAATAACAAATTCGACCAATCCCCCATGAATTCTGCGCGACTTTGAAATTTTGTCCAATCACTGCAACTCATCAGCAAATTTGACCAATCACGGTCGTTTCCCACATGTTTCACCATAATTTCCCCCGCATAACGTCCTCAGACTCACTGTCTTGTTTTTGGTTGCGACGACGCAGACGTGCGACACGAACCTCTCACATTTACCAACAAAAATTACTGCTAAAGACTGTTCAAGGCAATTCACTTATGTTCTACACGCAGAGGAGCAGCTGTAAATCAGGCTGCAACAATCTCAATGTGAAACCCTGGAGGCACTGAAATCTGTGCAGGACGTGTTAAGCTGTATTGGTGGTAGCTTCACAATGATCAGCAAAAAAGAGTAGAACAGACTGAATGAGAAGTATCTCTGATCGAAAGAGGGAGTGGTGAATATAAAATGACAAGCCACTTTTTATTTAAAAATCTAAATTATGTGCAATTTTAAGTCAAAAGGTAAATACATGTAAATATAAAGCAGCTGATGGTCCTTTACCTGTAAACTTTACTTTCATCTGCAGGGACTATCTGACCAGGAACACCAGCTCCAACAACCCTGACTCCTCCCTTGTCAGCAACGCTTTGACCTCTGACCCCGTCACCCTGCGACGAGAAACATTAGCATCAGCAGCAGAACGGCGTCTGCAGAGACAGTCTGACTCCGCCCTCTGAGCCCAGACAGGAAATGAGGTAGTTTAACTGGTGAGGAAGTTTTTTATCGTCTGTGACTGCGTTTTTATACCTGAACTACAAGGAACTTTCATCAACTGGTGCGAGGACCCTACTGAAATGCAACGAATTATCATGTATGCAAATTAATCACATTTTTGAGGGACTAAAGATGCTCGAAAACTATACAGAAACAGCCAGTCGACTCACTGATGGTCTTTTTTGCTTATGTAACTCGTGTACAAGCATCAGTATTAAACTGAGACTGTTTCATAACCAGTTAAAAACCCCTTGTGCCTGATTCCCCCTCTGCTGATGCTAAGAGGTGATTACACTTTTATTAAATGACAACTTAGAATCCTCCAGGCTCTGTTTCCACAGCAAAAGCTGCATGTTTAATGAGCGAGGCTGCTGTTCAGACCATCCTCCAGTAAAGAAATTGATCTCTGAAGACAGGAAGCTGCACAGATTGGATCAGATCAGCATTAACTTCAAATCTGAGATTTTGAGATAAACTCCAAGTTCAATAACAACATCCTGCTTTATTTCCCTCTAAATTAATCTCTCTGCGTCCTCTAAGGTGGATCCATCCTAATATCCTAATGTTTCAAATCTGGACAGACTGATAACAATGTTATTGATCAGCTGATGTTCAACTTTCAACAAGGTTTTTTCAAAATTCCCTACAGGTGTTTGTGTTGATGTAAATGATGTTTAAAAGAAAAGTGCTGGGACTGATAGAAAATGTATTTTTGTGTTCTAAAATGTTACGCTGTTTAACTGTGTTTTGTTTTGTCACAGCAAAAATGTTCATGTTTTTTTTGTCATTTTCTTTAAAACAAAAAAAAAGACAAAACATGTTAAATTGTAAAAATATACAAGAGTCTTTTACACAGTTTTACATCACATACTGGAAATTAATATTCTCAATTAACAACAATGACAGTATTTGTTTATTTAAGAGGTTGACTTTTCCTTTAATCTTATTATTTAATTGTTAATTATATTTAATGCCTGGTTTTAAAACAACAAGTAGTATTTGATCATTTCAGATGACTCACGATGAATTAAGTGTAGAATTTGTCTTTCAATGGGGTATGTTAGTTTTAACATTTGAAATTGTATTATTTATTTTGTTAGAATAACTCTGCATGAAGATTTTGTGTCTTCTCAAATGTTCATACTGGTTGTAATGATCTGCACTTTGTTCCTGTTTACAGATTGTATATATACTTTTGCATTTTGTACAAGTATTTAAAATGAAAAAAGAAAAAAAGTTGCACTGTTTTACAGCTTGACTGTATGAGCTCATACCAATAAATTTGTATTCAAAGACAATAAAAAAAACTGCCTCCTCTTCTTTTAGGTGATTTTTAACATCTGTCATACAGTGACTATTATGTTATATTAAATGGGTTAGAGGGTTTTGGGACAGTTTCACGACATACTACTATACTATGACTTTTTTGCATTTTTTCAACATACTATACTATAACTTTTTTTTTGCAATTTTATGACCTACTATACTATGACTGTTTTTGGGTTTTTAATGACATACTATGCTATGACTTTTTTTTCATTTTTTCGACATACTATACTATGACCTTTTTTTGCATTTTTACAACATACTATATTACGACTTTTTTTTTGCATTTTCATGACATACTATACTATGATTTTTTTTTGCATTTTTACAACATACTATACTATGACTTTTTTTTGCATTTTCATGACATACTATACTATGACTTTTTTTGTACTTTACAACATACTATACTATGACTTTTTTTTTGCATTTTACAACATACTATACTTTGACTTTTTTTGCATTTTTACGACATACTATACTATGACTTTTTTTTGCATTTTTACGACATACTATACTATGACTTTTTTTTGCATTTTTACGACATACAATGACTATTTTTTTGCATTTTTGCAACATACTATTCTATGACTTTTTTTGCATTTTTGCAACATACTATTCTATGACCTTTTTTTGCATTTTTACAACATACTATTCTATGACTTTTTTTTGCATTTTTTCGACATACTATGCTTTGACTTTGTTTTTGTATTTTACGACATACTATACTATGACCTTTTTTTGCATTTTTACGACATACAATACAATGACTATTTTTTTGCATTTTTACGACATACTATTCTATGACTTTTTTTTTGCATTTTTACAACATACTATACTTTGACCTTTTTTTTTTTTTTTGCATTTTTAGGATATACTATACTCTGACTTCTTTTGCATTTTTACAACATACTATACTATGACTTTTTTTTTTGCATTTTTACGACATACAATACAATGACTATTTTTTTGCATTTTTGCAACATACTATTCTATGACTTTTTTTTGCATTTTTTCGACATACTATACTTTGACTTTGTTTTTGTATTTTACGACATACTATACTATGACTTTTTTTTTTTCATTTTTACAACATACTATACTTTGACTTTTTTTGCATTTTTACGACATACTATACTATGACTTCTTTTTTGCATTTTTACGACATACAATACAATGACTATTTTTTTTGCATTTTTGCAACATACTATACTATGGGTTTTTTTTTTTGCATTTTTTTGATATACTATACTCTGCCTTTTTTCTGCAAATTTACGACAAACCATACTATGACTTCTTTTTTGCATTTTTACGACATACTATACTTTGACTTTTTTTTACGACATACTGTACTATGACTTTTTGTTTTTTTGCAAATTTACAACATACTATAGTGACTTATCTTTTGCAATTTTACGACACTACACTATGACTTTATTTTTCCAATTTTATATTATAGTATACTATGACCTTCTTTGCAATTTTACAACATACTATATTAAATTTAATTGGCCGATTATAGCCATTAGAGAATAATTGTCAATCAGCCAAAAGTTGGCCGATTGACGCCGATGTTAACACTTATATTTTCATATTTTCATCACTAATAAAATGCAGGGAATATGATGTTTTACTTAGAAATGATGTTCTTGTGTTACTTCTTGCACTATAACCTACCTCTGTTAAATTGGCAATAATAAGAACTCTGAACATACATGTGAATGTCTTAATTCATATAGACTTTACATGATTATTTTATTTCCCAGAGGTTTACTGCCTTTTTGCACATCATATTTTTGATTTATTTTGTGCTCAAATTGTTCATATTCTGCTTGTTCCACACAATTTCTGATAATAAAAGTATTTGAAAATAGTAAAATGTTCTTCCTTCAATTTTTATCTTTGTAACAAGTGTTTGAACTATATTTAAGTAATCAAAAGCAGGTATTTCTGGGTTTTTTAAATTGAAAAACATAAAAATTTAATCGGCCGGTATATCGGTTATCGGATTTTTTTATTCCATAATATCGGAATTGGCATCGGCCCCAAAAAATCCATATCGGTCGGGCCCTATACTATAGTATGACTTGTTTTTTACGACATACTACACTATGACTCTTCTTTGCATCTTACGACATGCTATACTATGACTTTTCTTTGCATTTTTTCGACAGACTATACTATGACTTTTTTTTTATTATCTAGACATAATACTATGACTTCTTTTTTAAAAATTCAGAGTATAGTATATTGTAATAAAATGTTTAGTATAGTATGTCATTAAGTGGAAAAAAAGTCATAGTTTGTAGTAAAAATTCACAGTATAGCATGTCAAAAACATGTCTTAAACAAACGTCATACAAAAACATGTCGTAAAACAAGTCATGGTATACTAAGTCGTAAAAATGTAAAAAGAAAAGTCATGAGACTAGACTTTTTATGGTATTTTCTGACACACTCAAGCATGACCATTTCAATGACAGTTTTAAGAAAATTTTAAGACACACTAAATAATGATTTCTCTTTAACGGCATTCAGTACTTAGTATTTTCTTTATTTCAAATTTCATGGCATACTATACTTTAACTTTTTTTTCACAAAATCTTTTTTTACATGCTACACTAGGATTTTATATGGCACTGTCATGAAAACTTTACTAAGACTTTTTAAATTCTTTTTGACAAACTATATCTTTTTTATGACATTTTTTAACTACATACGTCATCATGGCGTAAAATCTTTTAAGACATTATAGTATGACTTTTTATGGCTTTTTCATTGCATATTATACAATAACTTTTGTTACACCTTTTCTTTGGCATTCACTGTAACTTTTTGTTTTACGAACATTTCTTATATATACTATACTATGATTTATTTTTACTTTTTTGATTATTACATATTATACCGTGATTTTTTTTTAATGAAAATTTTATGACGTACTATACTATGACTTTTAAATACTTTTTTTTGTGATGTACTTAATTAGGGTTTTTAATGACATTTTTATGATACCCCGATTAATTTTCCAGAATAAACTCCAGCTGTGTGAACCAGCAGTTAATTAGCTGCAGCACTGATGACACTCTGAGTGGTGACCCCATTACTGGACCCACAGCAGAGGTTTGAAACTCTCCTCTACTGTCTGACCTGGAGCCCATACGCCAACACCCCACCCCTGGACACATCCTGCTCTGTCAGTTTGTAACATGAAGATTTATATCAGGCTAAAGGAGGGCTTACCTTAACTGTGTCCCTGGAAATATGTCCCATATTCAGCACGTCTCCCTGTGAGGCTGAGGAGGAGGAAAAACTCATTAAGACACAAACTATTAAACGTACTGCATATATGGACTTCAGGTAGATCTTTGTGAAGTTTTGTAGGTCATAACTTAACATCCCCAATGATGATCGTTAGATGTCATAATATAAAAAAATCATCTTTAGATTTTGTCCTTTTAATACTGTACTTCCAGTGGTGGGAGATAAGTACGTACATTTACTAAAGTATAGGTATTTGTACCTTACTAAGTTATTTCCTGTTTCTTCTACTTTATATTTCTACTTCACTACAACTTAGGAGATGTTTACTTTTACTCCACTAGGTTTCTTTTACCTACTTGTAACTTTACAGATTCAAATTAATTACTACAAAATATAACCAACATGGATCCTGTGAAGGCCGCGCTTACAGCCATACAATAAAAGGTTCAACAATAAATTCAGCTGAACCAGAAGTCAACCTGATTGAGATCATTCTTTTTCTTTCTTTACTTTTCTAAAGGGTTTGTTAACCAGCAGAGTAAAAAGTACCAATAGCACTGTGTAAAATGACTCCATTACTTAACATATATTTTTTAATTGTCACAGGGTTTTTTTCCAGATGTTTTACTCAAAGTGATCATATTGTTGATGATGAAGATAATGAGGGTGTTTGTTGTGATGCCCTGTAACTCCTGCAGCTCTACTCTCTTCACATAAAAACAATAAAAATATATTTCAGCCTTTAATGAGTCATCTTTGACATTTTTGTAGTTGCGTGATTTCCCCTTCTCCTTTTCATAAAGTTAACTAAAGTTTCATGTCACTTTTTTCCCCCGTCATTATGAAGTTGAATGCATGTCCTCCAGCCAGCAGGGGGCAGTCACACTTCACTGTTGTCCTCAGCTCATCATGTTTTCTGTTGAAACTTGCGGCTGAAATCATGATATTTATCTGCACGCAGATTTTTCACTGTCTGTCACACAGAGGCCTCTTTCAGATTACCATCGCTACAGGCAACTCAACATTATAATTTCTAATTACTGTCATTATTACAGACGCTTCAGGCGGAAAAAAAGTCTTTATCTTGTTCATGTGTGGTTCTCACATGGTCATAAACCACAGAGAAAGTCGAGGCTTTTATTCTGACTAACAGCGTGATTAATGGAACAGTGAATTAAGTCTTCAGAGGCTCCTGATGATGAAATGTTTGGTACAATAATGTTCCTTATATCAAAGATTTATCATCATGTAACACATTTAACAGACAGAAGCCATAGCTTTGTATATGTAACAGTGTAATCCTGGTTTCACATTAATGCATGAGTATTAATATTCTAATAACAGTATAACAGTCAAAGGGGGCATTTTCATACTTCTAAAACATTTTCCTGATTATATTTGCATACTTTTACTGGAGTAACATTTTCACTGCAGGACTTCTACTTGGAGCGGAGCATCTACAGAGTGGTATGAGTGCTTTTTCTTAAATAAAGGAGCCGAATACTTCCACTGCTGCTTATTTGGTACTTACAATTACATACATATACATTGGTTTTTTTTGTATAACAAAGTAAAAAGGTAACAACATTGGTATTTTTTAGAAAAGTCTTTGGTAAAGGTTTGTCTATATGAGGAAGCTGTCTGTCTGTTTTCTCAATTTCAGTTGCACTTACACCAGTGTTTCCAGTTTTATTCACGTCTGTGTTCTAAAGGTTTT